CTTTTTTCCTTGATTAAGTTTTGTCCCGTTGGGTTTTCCTGATAAGGTTTTTAATGAGGCAATATGAAGCACATCCAATTTCACGTTACAGTAGAGTTGTATTTCTTTATTTAAGTTTTTTTTTTTCCCACTAGGTTTTTCTTCAGTAAGGTTAAATACAATTATCTTTAAGAGGTGGATGTCCAAGGGGGAGTGTTGTAATTGGCTATCCATCGCCTTACTTTGAGGCGGTGAATGGGGGGAGGGGGCATTGGCTGTAAAAACCCTCACTCCCCTTCATTTTTACTACAATTAAGTGAAAAGAAAAGAAGTTTTATAGCCCCCCCTTGGACTTTACTTTCTTAATATTTTGTCTTCCTTAATCTATTACACTTATATTACTAAGATTATAATACAAAAGGTTTTACTTGATATAATCGTTACTTTTACTATGAAAGCCAATTATGAATTTGACAAATGTCACAAAATCAACTAGCAAATTTACTTAGAATGATAAAATATATGCTTTGATTAAGCTCTTAATATACTAATTAACCCTTTTGCTTTTTAAAAGCTTCCTACCTAAGTAAACTTCGATGAATTTACTTCGTATTTTATATTATTATGCTTTTTTATCTTACCTTTATTTTTCTTTTCTTAATGATCATCAACAATGGGGGCTAAATCATTTAATCCTATAAGCTACGTTTTCTTTAAGTTTAGGAATATTATTATTATTATGAAAAATTATTATGATTTTTGCATTTTTGACACAAAAAATCATTCTAATTTCACCAAATTATAAGAAAAAACATAAAATAGTTACAGTATATCTTAACTCTCAGGTTCAAATCAAAGCTAAACTAATTACAATAAAACCTGTATAGAGTATGAAATTCTTTATGGTAGTTAAAACCCTAGATTATACAAGTGATCAGCACCCTGGAATTACGTTGCACTTAGAAGAAGTAGAAAGAGAAATATAGTGATAATTTAATTCTTCACCATCCAATGGGATAGATCCAACCGTGTATAAGTATGGTTACGATGAAATTCTAGAAAATTGACAAAATAATCTCGTTTAAATATTTCAAATACCCACAAGGCATTTTGAGCCAAAATGTTTCCAAAATACAAAAATAATCATCAAACCAAACATACCCTAAATTAAAAAGCTTCCTAAACCAAATAAGATATGAGTATTCAAAACTCTCCCATTATTAGGAACAAACTCAAATAATGACTTGAAATGTTTGCTTGAAAGCCAAAACATGTTTTTTGTTTTATTTGTTTCCATATTTCCAATCAATTGTGCGTCCAAAAATTTGCCACCTCAAAGGGTTATTTTGTACGTTAAATTTTTTTTAAAAAAAGAAATTATTATTATTTTCCATTATCAGTCAAACCCACAATTATCCGGCAGTATGATTGTTGGCAACATGATAGTAGTATAATAATTGAAATTAATAATAATATTCAGTAAAACTACTTTACTTCATAAATTACATTGTATACTATTATTTCGCATGGGAATTCATTTCTAATTAATTGCATGCAAACTAAGTTTGATTGGCTTATAAATTACACTAATTACCAATTTCAAAGCACTTCAAACCAGCATAATTTCTTCCCAAGCTCCACCTGCTAAGCAAATTATGTGTTTAGTTTTGTCTCTTTTTTTTTTTTTTTTCTTTTTCTTTTTAATGATCGGGGTATCCGGATTAGTTTACACGTATTTCAACTAATCTTCAAGACCTTGGAACTATCGATTAGGTAAGAGTTTCATTGGCTATCCCTATTAGCAACTGAGAAGGGACTTGAACTTAAGACCTTTTGAGTAATATATCCAAAAATCCCTATCGAACCACTTGTCCACCTAAAGTTAGTTTAAATTATGTGAATAGTTATTTAACTCTATAAATGCACAAATTATTAAGCATAAATTCTTGGATGTAGACCGTCTATATTTTTAAAATGCGGATGGTTGTCGATAAAAAATAATAAATATTAAAAGACAAAATTTTACAACCTTCGATACTTTTTTTTTAGTATTTACGATACTGTTTAACTATTAAATTATTTCAACAAACAAGGTTCATAATTTAAAAAAAATAATAATTTAAAAAACTAACATATTAACATAAGTATTGTGGGACTTAATTTTTATTTATTTATTTTAGTAGTTAATAGAAAGAAAGTAAGGGGGTTAATTAGTTACATTAATACCAACCCAATAATTTTTTCAATTATTAGATTAAATTGGATGGAAGGTTAGTATAAAATACGCTCATAATCTATACATTTTGTTATCAAATTACATTAATTATCAAGCTAAATAACGTAATTAATCTCAAGAGATTGACTTAACGATCAAAGAGATTTGTTCACTTTCTTGAGTTGAATTTTTGGATTCAAACTTAAAAAAAAAAAAAATTGATAACATCAAAAGTGAAATGGAGTAAAGGATTGAAATTACAAGAAAAGTTGGAAAAGTGTAGCCTACAAAATACTCGATCTTGCTATCTTAGTGATGCTCACAATTATTACTATTTTTCTTTATCTTTTATCTTTTATCTTTTCTCTTTTCGTAACCTGAAAATTACTTTGAGTGTAGATGTAATATTGATGTTGTCCTGATCTACTTTTTCTATTTCTTCATTTTTTTTCTCCAAAATAATCATGAAATTTTTATTTATTTATAATATAATAATAATAATGAAAGATTTTTCTTTACCCCTTCTCTCAATTATTTGCCATTAGCCCAACATAAATTAAAATTATGAAAACTATATAAATTTCTCTAAAACTCTCCAAAATTATATATATATTAAAAAATAATTATCTATGATATGTTTATTAGGTTTGTTATTATAAGCTCCCATAAATTTTCATTTAATTTTTCGACGTCTATTATTTTCAAAAAGATTACAAACCCGGAGTTTTTGATTTTTTTTTGGTAGTTTTTGATTTTAGGAGAATTTTTAAAATTAAAATTGTAAATTAAGTAATGGATCTATGTTAATAGATAATAATCTTATGTATTATGATATGATAATTAACTTTCAATTAAATAGGAAAAAAAGATTATTTATATAAAATATGGGATAAATCAATTAAAAATATAAATAATTTAAAAAAAAAAGGCTTCTCTAAACAAGAGTGGTTCCCATGTGTAGCCGCCCATAGAAATTATTTTCCTTGTGAACATGACATGCAATAGATTTTATGAAGTTATTATTTTAATTAATTTTGATTAACTCTCATTAACTTTAACAAGAATATATGCTTAGTACTTTTCATATCATATTGTAATGACATTTTTTTTTTCCTCAAGTTCAATGTATATCCCAACTTAACAACATCCACAATCAAACCAAGACAAATCAAATATCAAATTTTTTTCTCCATGTTCATGCATGATGAAGATAATATAAACCATAAACAAGAGAGTTGCAATTGGTGGGTATAATGTAGTGGGATCATATACAACAACAATCTTAATTAGGGTTTAATCTAATTTTCCCCTAAGATTTCTTGAAATAATTTTTTTTTTTTTTTTTTTATAATCGGGGGTGTCCGAATCAGTCTATGCGTAGCTCAATTAATCCCTTGGAACCTTGGAACTACCGGTTGGGTAAGAGCTCCAGTAGTTACCCCTATTAGCAATCGAGAAGTGATTCGAACTCAAAACCTCTTGAGTAATACATCCAAAAGTCTCTATCGAATTACTCGACCACCTAGAGGTAGTTTAATAATTTTTTTTATTGAAGTATCTAAAATAACAATTTACGTATTATCATTTGTGTCTCCTAGAGTTTCAACGTCTACTTTAATAAATAAAATAAATAAAAAATCTGTTAATTAGGCTATAAAAACCCTAATGAAATATATATTGACAATATGGAGTAAATTATTATTTCAGATTAGAGACAGAAATTGTTATCAAACCCTCTTAATTATTGTTAGTTTAAAAGTATTTTTTACCATTATAATTGCTTAATCATTTGATTTACTAATTTTTTTAATATTTAACTGAAATTGATAATTAACATTTACCCAAAAGGTCCAAAACTAAAAAAATTGTTTAGGGTGCTTCTTAAATAATACTTGAAACGTATTTACGTAAAAAAAATTAACATTTAACCTCTTCCCTTATGATCAGATGATAAACCTTTTAGTCACTAAGGTTAACTATACTTAAGAGGGTTTTGTGTTTGAGTCGTAAGAAAAGTGCTTACTATATTTGTGTAATTATCTTAGTTTATTGGATTTATAAAGTGTTTCGTGACACTTCAGGATTAGGTAGGAATATCAAACATGTGAGTAAAATTAGCCCATATTTTTTATTTGTACACAAGAAATTGACTATTAATATAAAATATATATTTTTATATCAATATTTTGATTAATCAATCACTATAATCCAACATTATATGTTAATTTATTTAATTAAACCATTAAACAAAGAGAATTGATGGAGACAGACTAATAAAACAAGTAAATAGATCAAAAGATTAAGTTGTACAACTGCAACATTTAACCTGTTATAATTTTAAGATATATAACAAATTAATTAAAGATACTCATTCTTAAATAAATTATTATCCCACAAATATATAAATACAAAAATCCAAAATTTATTACAAAATTAAATTTAAATAATTAAAACTACAAATAAAAGATCTATTATGTCATTATCGAGAGTCTCGTGATTATCATTCATTTCTAATGGCCCCCACCTACCAAACCAAAATCAAATCTTCATTCTCATTTACTAACATACAATCATCATCATAATCTCTCATGCTCCGCACTGTACATTATCATACCTTTCCTTGTACGTAAAGTCATTAATTATAATTTCTCCTTCTAAATTTTTAAACGAAAATAAAAGAAATTCTCGTTAAAAATTCAAATATTTTTTAAATGACGAAATTACCCCTCATGCAAAAATGAAAACCACAACAAACTGGGGTAGTTTCGTCGAATGGAATAATATGCATGGCACGTACAAATCTTCCTCACGCGTGTGGCATGCACAACGGCGTCGTTACGGCCACACTAGCATCATCTTTACAACTTAATGCTTTGAGAAACCTCCAAGAAGTCTTCCCGCCGGCGGTAGAGCTCCGGTTAACCGGGAAATTCCCTGCCGCGTCCAACGAAGGGAACATCACGGATGAATTGCGACGGAATTGGCGGCTTTTGATGTCTCTCAGGTCCATCTCTGGCGGGAACTTCACCATTCCAAACATTAACAAGTACCACCACGGCTTCACCGCCCGAATTTTATTAACATTATCCGATTTTCCGACGCTTCTGACGGATGAATTCCGCTCCATATCGAAGTCTGGCGAGGTCTTCGAACTCGAAACGCGGTGCAACTTCTGATAGTCGAGTGACCGACTGCTTCTCAAGATTTTACTCTTAGAACGAGAGCTCTGTAACTCAGAAAGAGACTCCGATCTCCGGCGAAAATCGCCGTGTCTGTGTTCATAAATCGACGACTTCGTGAAACCTTTCGATGAGAATTGCTGTTGTTGTTGTTGATGATGATGATGATAAACAGGAGGATTTTGTTCATTAATATTTAAAGGGATGAGTTTTCCGCAGAAAATTATATCTTCAGCGGCACGCATTTCGGAGCTGAGATTGCTGAGAAACTCGAAGAATTCGGGGTCGCCGGGCTCGGTTGATGAAGATGAAGATGTTCGTCGAGTAGTATTAGAATTACTGTGGCTTCTTGTTGTCGTTTCTTGAAAATTGTTGCCATTGTTTTCGTCGAGAGGAAAGTCACAGAGAGAAAGAGCTTCTTCCTCTTCTTCTTGCGGGTCGTGGAGATGATGATGATGATGGTCGGGTTTTTCAAGAGCTCCCATAGTGATTGTTTTTTCAGAAATGAGAGAACGAAGATGAAAGACTTTGTAGGACATTTTTATAGTAAAACAGAAAGAAAGATTTATTGCTAAAACGGTGATTAATTAGTTTTAAGAATAATACAAGAATTTTCATAGTTATATAAATACTTAGGTGTGGATGTTTTAAAGATTATAATATGAATTATTATAAATATATAATCATAAATAAATAAAATAAAATAAAAATATAAGGAGACAAAGGAAAAGAGACAAAGTAGTGGAGAGTGTGTTTATTGATGGAAATGTAGTTTCTTTCCAAGTACTTGTTGTTGAGTTGGGAGTCTTGACAAAGTGTATTCATAGTTTTTCTCTCATTGTCCATGCCTTCTAGAAGAAGATTAACAAAAAAAACATGAAATTAAAGAGATGATTAATTAATAGACAAATAAATGCTTCTAGAAAGGCCAGCAGAATGGGAAGAGAAAGTTTGAGACAAGTTCAAATGGGAGATAATTTTGATTAATTAAATTATTTTGCATGTATAAATAGGATTGGAGAAGTGGTTAAGAATATTATCTTTGACTTGTATTTGAGTATACATAAATATTAGGATAAAAGTTATAATAAGATTTTTCTGACAAATTCATGACATTTAAGTAATTGAAAAAGTCTTTCATGATGGTACGGAAGGTTTTCTTAAATATTCCATAAATAGGCTTTTAACAAATTAAAATAAAATTAAAAAAAAAAAAAAATATATATATATATATATATATATAAGAACCTTTCTATAATGATACTATGACTTCGTTTGGTTGCTAATTGGGAATACTACTTTTAGTGTTCCCAAAAAAGTTCAACAGTAAAATACTCAAAAACCAGAGTTTTTGGGAATACTACTCTCAATATTATTTAACTTTTTTTAAACCCTTTGAATTTGTTAATTTAATTAAATACCTCTAAATATTTTTTTAAAAATTATAAAAACACCCCAGTAATCCACATTTACCAGATTCCGGCCACCACTACCGGAAAATGGTCGGAATCTGCTAGGATGGCGCACTACAGGCTAAATCTGGCTGGTAGTACGCCGATCTAACCTTTTTCGGCCAGATCTAAGGCCAAAGATCTGGCCATTGACGGCCAGATCTTTGGCCGTAACAGTCTATAACGACGGCCAACAAACGGTCAACGACGACTGTTTGTTGGTCGTCGTTGAGGAGCAAATACGGCCAGATCTGGCCTTTGTCGGCCAGATCCACGGTGGATTTGGCCGGAAAAGGCCATATCGGCGCACGATCGGTAAGATCCAGCCGGTCATGCGCCGATACGGCGACTCCGGCCACCCTCCGTTGGTGGTGGCCGACTGTTCGTATTTGAGGGTGGGTTGTGGGTGTTTTTGTTAACTTTTAATGTTTTATTATAAGGGGTATTTTGTAAAAAAATAAACATAAGGGGTATATTATTAATTTATAAATCCTACATCGTAATACCCGCCCAATTCAATTTTTTTTTAACTTTTTTCAAAAAACTTTTCCCAAAAACCCAAAATTTTGAACCAAACGAAGCCTATGTAAGAATAACTTCCATGTAGTTATAAAAAATTATGATCCATACTTAGGTCAGTTATAAATAAGAACAAATTTCACATTGTAATAATTTATAGTTTTTCTGAGTTTTGTCTTAAGGAACTTGCCTCTATATAGTAATAATTGTATGTATATTATAAAAAAAAATATGTTATGTTACATTAACTATTTAAGATGAAATAAAATATTTATCTAAAGTTATTTAAGACAATGATTTATGTTTTAGAGTTGTTACTATATTTTTTATCTTGCGGGTACGTAATAAGTCATCAACATAGACACTTTCTTGTTGAAGCCAAAATATTTCTAACTGCATGTTTGGAGCTTCTTAGCATGAAACTTTTGATATTCCCAAACTATATTCATCCTCATGATTATCTCATTCATCTTCTTGTCTAAGTCTAGTAATGATTTTTTCTTTAGTTAAAACATACACGACTTGTTGCTCATTTCGATGATTAAGGAAAATATTAATATCCATTTGATTAGTGTAATGAAGTTATCGAATCTGATCACTCAATTTTGTAATGACTCTTTGATATTCATTTCCATACCATCCTAATGCTACTAAAATAATTAATTGAAATTCTAATACTACTAAAACATGAATTATAAAATAAGAAATTAAAACAATAATTCTTATAACTACATCTCTATTAAGTTATAACATCTTTATAGTCATAAATTTAGTCGGTCCTAGAATTATGACTATAGAGATGTTCTACTGTATAATAATAATAATAATAATAATAATTGTTGTGCCTAATTTTTTGGTGGTCAAATTTGCGTCATGCGTCCTCAAGGTGTGTCAAAGGCTGATGGCTTGGATCCTTCCACGAGTCATCTCATAAGTGCATGTTTTCTCTCACAAGGTGATTACTATCAAAAGCATGAGTTAAGCTGCCATTAGCATGACTTGGCTTGTTACAAGCATGCAAATTACTAACTCAGATCCTAATTAAGGGGATTATGCATGCAAACAACCTTGTAACACCAATTTTCAACCACTGTCAGATAAGCCAAAAGTAAAAGGAGCCTACAACCTCCATTTCAAGGGAAGATTCTAGTATGAGTAAAGTTCAAGAGAAAAATAGACTGACCTGTTTTAGAAAGTGTTTATAGAGAATAGGTCGCAAGAATTGAATCTCCTTTATTTATCTCGCGAACTTCCCTTTGTAACCTCATATGATCTTGTAACATCCTCCAATAATAATATAACAAGGCATGTAGGTTTGATTTCTATACAGTCTAAAATCTATTTTGTTCTTTACTTTATTATGCCATTTTTAGTGATCTTGCTTGTTACCAGCCATGCATATATCTTACCTAGTCCTTTTGGAGGCCAGCTAGATATCTCTAGTTGGTATGAATTTTCGTATTGACAATAATAATAATAATAATAATAATAAAAGTTTATCTTCATCATATCTAATAAAAATAATTATCTCCAACTTCAGTTTATATTTGGTTGTATTGTCTTAAATCAATAGATAAGAATTTATGGAATGAAATTGTGTCAAAAAGTTTTGTTCCAATAACTTAACCCTTTTTTTAAAATAATAATCCTATTAGTTTACATTAATTAACGCTAAAATAATAAAATTTCCACCAAATTCTCTTGGACAAAATAATATAATAATTTGTCTTTATAGTGATAGTCCATGCCAATTAGTATGATTTGAATTTTATATATATTTGAATTGTATATGAATTAATTTGAAATGTACGTAGATTTTATACTTTTATACTCTTTTGGCTAAGTTTTGGATACTAGCCAATTGTCATTGTCATTTGGTAAAGCACAGTCGTTTTTTGGGCTCCAAAACGTGTTTGGGTCGGGTACGCAAAATGACAATCTAGGTTGTGACTAGTAACCCCACGAGTCTATCCTTTCAATAAAAATCAAGTGTTGTATATGTTTATATATATATAGCTCGCAGCCCTAATGGGTATTTATTTTAGAATAATCTTCATTGTCGTACCATCAAAAATCAAAAGGATGGCAAGTAACTAAAGATACTGACTGTCGTTTAGGTAATCTAGCTAAGCTTAGAAACCTCGACGGTTCGGAAATATTTTGGTATTGAGCTAGACTGACAAATGCATTAAATCTACTACACTCTTTCAATGGCTTTGATTGATTGGGAATCAAAATAAGAGAGTTATTTGTGACGTATGGATGTACGTATAATGAGCTCTACTTGCAGGCGTTGAAAAGTAATCAAAATCCTTGAATGTTCTAAAATTTTAGGACTTTATAATTAATGGAGGCCGGTGGTGGGAGAGAGACTCGTTCTAGAATTTTTAATACTAGAAAAATGATGCCCATTTAAATTATAGTTACGTAATAACATAATCTGTACGTAGTTTAGAAGATTCAAGTGGGCAGCCTTAATTTTATTTTATTTTTAATTAACTTATGCTATTTATTTAATAAATTTAAAAAAAAAAAGAGGGGTTCTGCATAAAAACAAGTATACATGGTCAAAGTGAAAAGAGAATTCGGATTAATATCTAATTTCTTTCGCTTTTCCATCCATTTACAGGGAGAACGACTTATACATACCCAACGTTTGTCGAAACGATAAGTTGGTACCTAAAAGGTTTTGAAACGACAAATAGGTATCTTCTGTTATGTTCTGTTAATGATTTTCGTTAGATAATAGTGAAAAGACTANTGACTTGTATTTGAGTATACATAAATATTAGGATAAAAGTTATGAGTAAGAATTTTCTGACAAATTCATGACATTTAAGTAATTTAAAAAGTCTTTCATGACAAATATATATATATATTTGAAATTTTATAAATATATATTTGAAATTTTATATTAAAAAAAGATATATTAATGTGTCCATTCAATAAAATAGGTGGGTGCATCGAGGGTATTTTTTTTTTAAGTGCAAATAATCATTTCCTTAGAAAATTTTAAGAGTTGGTCAAATTTTCATCAAACCCCTCTTGTTTGACGTTTTGCACAAACTTACCTATATATTATAACTGGAAACATGCAAATTTACAAACACAAAAAAAAAGGCACGTACACCGAGAGACCCGGAAGCCCAAATCTGGATGGCGGCAGTTTCAGTGAATAAACAAACGACTCATGTCATCTTTGAGAACTCTTACTCAGTAAGCACTTTTATCAAACACTTTCAAATTTGTTTCTCATTCTTAGTTCACTTCAAATCTTATCTTATATCTTGACTTATAATTATTAGGTGGTTGTATTTTACATGCAATTCAAACTTCAGCACATGAAAATCAAGAGTAATGTAGTCTGTAAATGTATTTATTAGGAAGAGCTTTGTACACATGCGCCCTTAAAAGGTATGCATTAAGTTTATTGAAAAGATAAAATTTTGATTATATTAATGAACTTTATCTATAAAAGACAAAAACCTATGTTTTATTCAGATGAGATCAAGCAGAAGATTTGCATTATCTTCATTTCAATGGACTCTGATTGAACTCTATAACTGTTTTTTTTTTTGTTGATTTGTAATTCTTATTCAAAGGAGAACATTGTGCACTCACCAGATTTTCCTGTCATTATCGGCTGCTTCCTGCTTAGATCCTTCTTTTGTTTTCCTTTTCTTTATTTGTATGGAGTGTCACTAGGTGTTAACTTGATATGAAAAAGCGTTGATCTAGTAGAGATATGCTAGTTGGTTTGATTGTTACATGCCTTGCTGCTAGAATATATAGTTTTAACTGCATTCTTATTGCATGTAAAATGCAGGTCTGCAGTTATGGTTCCGGATCCAGAGCTGAATAAATCTTATCATGCCAATGCAGACCAAGTCCTGCACTGCCTAATTGATTTCAACCCCAGTTATTGGGGTTTGCGCCATTTGAAGACATAGAAGGCTAGATTTTCATGTTTACGCGTCGAAAGGAAATTTTGGTATCCATTCTTTGTTAATGATTCAAGACACTTCTTACTTTGTCTCCCTGACTCTGAGCATAACTCTCACTTTATTTGCTTTCAAGCGAGATCATCCTCATCAATTCAATTTCTAATCTGATAGTCATTTTTGCTAGAACATTGCTCCTTCGCGAGCAAGGCCTATTTAATACGTGAAAATTTTTAGTACTTCTAGATGAACAAGAACTAGCGGTGAAGAGAACCTTTCATGAATGGGAAAAAAGCCTTTGATTGACCAAGTTTTTGCTTTGTGCGGATTTATACTTTTGCAGGCCAACTGCATGCTCAAAAAATATGTTGTTGTTGTTAGTGGCAAACTTAGTTTTCTAATTGAAGAATTAGATTGAATTCAAGTTAATGTGACAGTAGTCATCAGTTTAGGTAATTAATCCAGTAACATGACAAATGCCATAAATACATTGTCAAAGACATTTTTCCTTCAATTGCTAGGTGTTAATTGATGTTTTTAATAACATTTAATGATTTTGACACCAGCAACTTCGTACGTGCAAAATGCTAACAAATCATACGTGAGATAATTATAGTAAATGAGTAAGATATTGTTTTCACAGTAGCATGCAAAGACGAAAATAATAAATGAGATAGTAAGATTTTTATAGTGGTTCAGATGCTTAAAGCGAATCTCTACATCCATTGTATTTTTTTATATGAGTATGTTCTTGGTCGTTAGCCAAGATTAGAAGAGATCGCGAACTGCGATCTAGTACTATAGAGGCTTGGTGTTTTAAGTGTTTTTAGAGAATATAAAGTCAATCTCTTTCTTGTAGTGTGTCTTTACTATTTTCTTTGTTAAATTAAAGAGTGTTTGATTCTGATTTTATGAGGGGGAGCTACCTATTTATACCCCCAGTGCTCAAGGTAATGATTACACTTTTGCAAGTGGGTTGGTGCCGTGCATATCTCTCCTAACTTCCCATTCGTTGAGAACTCAAAGAATATCCTTAAATTAAACGGGGCTTAGATAAGTGTACGAACCAAATTCATTCATAGACAAATGTTTGAGTTTGCTAGGTTGTTGACAACTATATTCTTTCTATCTTTGGAGACGTGGCATGTTCTGGACAGTGAGAAGTCTCTCTGAATTATGATTGGTGTTCGCTGACATCAGCATAGTTCAGCCCTTATTTTAGGCATAATACATGGATTGTGTTGCAATGTTGTTGCTGTGAAATTACTATACTTATTAGGATAAATAACTTAACTGAATGAAAGCTAACAAGAAGGAGTTTCAGTTTCAGGTGTATTTGAAACATTTGGGGTCTTTGTTTATTTCTTCAATTATTGTTGAGAATATCCCAAATGAATATTACCCTTCAATAATTTTATACTTTTAACTTCATATATTAATGATCTCTCTTCAAGTTTTGACAAGCAATACATTCAAATTGGTAAGTTTTTTTTTTTTTTTAATTATTATTTGTCATATAAATAAATATTTATTGTGAATAAATTAAATTTTATTTATTTAAATGATAAGTAATTAATGTCAATTGGGAAACTAGAAATGGTAAATTTGCAATGCGAAGAAATGGTTCCTATCAGTATCGTTTTGGCCTTTATTACACCAAAACTTTACTAATATTAATAACGACCAAAACGTTGCTAAATTTTATAAGACTAAAGTGTCACTTTTAAGTTTTAACTGGACTTCATGGTGAAATAAATTATCTCTAACAGTCAACAGAGGACGTGCTTAACTAGTTGTCAAAATAAAAGGGTGTTTGCTATATAACAAAAAGTATAGAGGGTCTAGAAAGATCCGAGTGCTGGAATCGAGTTCTCACTTCTCACTAAAGCGCTAGCATCTGGCAATGAGCAAGCAACGAATATAGAAAGCTTGAACAAACCAGTCAACTGTTTTTGGAAGTGCAGAAGCGTGAGACCTGGAAACCCAATTCTCAATGGCAGCTGTTTCGGGCCCTAAACCAGTCACTCATGTCATCTTCGACATGGACGGTCTCTTACTGGGTAACTTTTTTCATCAAACACTTTCAATTTGATGATTTCAGTTTCAAATTTATGTTTAATCATAACTTATCAGTAAATGTAGTTGGAGAATAGAAATAGTTTGTTCATGTTTAATTGGTTCAAAGTACAATGCCAATTTGTAGAAAGGGTAGATATGTTTGGCAATAACTCAGGGATCGATTCAATGATTCATATGAAGAATCCAACTCTGGATCAAATTCCGGCTACAACTTTTGCAAAGGATTAAACAAATAAATCAGCTTCTTTGTTTTTATTAGAATTTTCAAACCCATTAACCATATCTTGATGGCAAATGCCTCTAAGATGATTTTGGTAAAGGCGCCAGACGTGTTATGTTGATTTGGATTATCTGTTGTCTGGTAGCTTAATAAGTAGTTAAATGGGTGTTTGTTTTTATCAGTTATGTGAAAAGGTCTGAATGCGCGAATTTGGAGCAAGTGTTTAGCTAATTTGTTTTACAAGCCGGAGTAAATGAATATCAGTATTTTTAACATATAGGTCTACGTTTAATGTCTATTCATTTCGATAAAAGCAAATCGTCAATATGAATCAAAATTTTAAATTGCAAAAGGGAACATGCTGTATCAGCATGTGTGAATTCACTGGTTTGATGGATGCCATTATGTTTGCTGAATAATTCTTTTCCTAAAACGATTATTCATGATGAATAGGAGTCTCCATTTATAAAGGAGAAAAGAAAAAAGATTTTGGACTCTCAACCAAGTAAATTGAATTCTGGAAAATGGCATTCCATCATCCCCGTAATATTAGTGATTAAAATAAAAATTTCAAGTTACCCTTGTTATCCAAATGAGATCAGTTCCACAAAGCAATATCAATCCTACTATATTTACTTGTTAGAGAAAAAAATTTTGATTACGACATTGAGCTAAATGTTACTGTTATGTTACATTGTGGTCTCATTGGTATCTTTTGAAGTCGACTCTCATTGTATGATTTTTGTTAATTAATGTCTCTGACTGAACTCTATAATTTTGGTTTTTCATGCTGTTTCCCTCTGAGGGTTGCTACTAACTACTTACATCCTTTTTCTTTATTTATTATTCATTCTCTCTGTAGAACTTTCCGGATTCTGTAAATAAGATCCATTTTGTTAAATTATGAAAATCTCTTCAATCAGCTAACGGTAATCCCATCTAATTTAGGGTTGGTTGTGTTTATCATTTTTTGCTGTTAAGCTTTTTTCAATTTATAATCTTCTCTCTCTCCTTTCCTTTTGTTAGGATAGGGTTATAATCTTCTGCTAGAATATTGTTAATCATATGATTATTCAATAAGTTAGAATCAATGCCGCCCAGTTCTTTTGATGGATTCCAACATAGTAGTTGAATACCCTAGATCCTGAAGATGGTTTCTGTCTTCATTTTCTTGTTGTTTCTGGAATCTCCTTACATGTGCTTTGATCATAAGTTGTACTCCTTAACCTCCATTCTCTGCCTAGGGCCACCCTACTTTGCTAGTGAAAATGTTGGCTATCTTATTCGAGTTGTGCAGCACCAAAAATTGGATTTCTTTTGTCCAGGCCTAATTGCTACGATTAGCAACAACTTGTAGGATTGAAAAGTTTTAAGTTCAAACCATACATTAACCTGGAAATGCATTTTTCTTTTGTTTCTTCATTTTTTTTTTCTGTATTTGTACTTTTATTATCTCAATCTAAGTTTATGCAACTTAATCTTTTGTACTCCATATTCTTGGGCAACCCTGTCCTCTATGTTTTCCTTAAGTGTCAATTCTGCTTTGGGAATTGCTGCCATGCTACTTTCATTAAGATTTATATAATTTTGATTCAGTTGGAGTCTTACATTTTGTGCCAAATTGTTATATTTAGATTTGGAGTTCTTAATTCTTTCATCAATTGAGTTGATAATGATACATGCTAAATCCTAGGAAAATTATTATACATCTGATGGTTTTCTATTATTGACTACTGCAGATACGGAGAAATTCTACACTGAAGTCCAAGAGATCATACTTGCTAGATACAATAAAACTTTTGATTGGTCCCTTAAGGCAAAAATGATGGGAAGGAAAGCAATTGAAGCTGCTCGGGTCTTTGTTGAAGAGACTGGAATTAGTGACTCACTTTCTGCTGAGGATTTTCTTGTAGAGAGAGAAGAGATGTTGCGTAAATTGTTTCCAACAAGTGACCTCATGCCAGGTACTAGTTATCAGAGCACCACTTAAATGAATTTTTGTGGATAAATTTCTCTTGTTAGTCTTTCTCTGCTTAATTTTGTTAAAGTGAGGTGATAAATAATCCAGCGGTTACAACCCCTGCTATTTTACAATAGTATTCTGAGGAGATTTGTTTGCAAACAGATTGCGGTAGTTACAGGAGGTTTGAAACACAGAGAATAAACGAGAAAAAAGTTTAGTCAAGATGGAAATTCGCAAATAGAGAATATATGTGTGTGTGTTTATGTACATAAAGTCACACACGAATTCACATACAAAACCAGAAAACGTGCACTTAAGATTGAAATTGTAAACAGAGCAGATAATCTAGAACTTGAACTTAGCTGAACACACCAAACAATTTCTGCATAACCCTGCACCATAGGCCACAGAATGGTGCATAGACACACTAACACAAGAACACTTTAATGTAATCAGTCTTGAAGAACCCACGCATAAAAAAGGTGCTTAAATATTAGGTTGATATATAAAATAATAAAATAAAAAGATAAAAGGCAGAAGAAGTATAGAGAAGACAGAAAGATGAAGAAAAGAACGAGAGAATGAGAAGTTGACTACAAACCCTGATCCTCTGCACCCTATTTTTGTATGATAACTGTTTCACACGGTAATAAATAATATAGTACCAGCCAAGTTGGCCCACCAAGCCACAACCACATAACAAATTTTTATAGTTTATTTTTCTTGAAATTTAAATCAATTGCAAATAAAACAATTTTAAGTTGTTTTTGTATTTTAGGGGCTAGCCGTTTGATCAAACATCTCCATGCCAAAGGAATACCATTTTGCTTGGCGACAGGGTAAGGCTCATCCAGACAATTGCAATTTGTGTTATATTTAATTCTTTTGATTTGCAAGAATCAAAAGCTCATTTATCTGTGAAGTTTTCTCTACCTTTTACATTTTGTACTGAATTTGCTGAAGTCATCAAGGATATTCATGGGCAGTGCTTATCTTAAGATGTATTTTGCAGTTCTCACAGGCGGCATTTTGAATTGAAAACCCAAAGACATGGTGAACTTTTCTCATTAATGCATCATTTTGTTCTTGGTGATGATCCAGAAGTTAAACAAGGCAAGCCATCACCGGATATATTCCTTGCAGCAGCCAAGAGGTTTGAGGTAAAATCATTTCACAGATGCTCTTCTATATTGTAATTTGTGACAGTAGCACCTACTGGATTTTATAAAAATTGTCTTGTCAATTCTGGTCATTGGTTATTAGTCAACACAAATACTCATCAAAGTTTTTGGATAAACAGGGTAGTCCGGTCGAGTCAGATAAGATCCTCGTGTTTGAAGATGCACCATCAGGAGTTCTCGCAGCTAAGAATGCTGGGATGTAAGCACATTTACAAGAACACTTACTTCTGTTTTCGAGTTTTCATTGTGATTTTTATCCCAAAAGATAAAGTTTCGATTTATGAATTCAAAACTTCATACTGTCCTACCCATGCTCACTATCATCTCAGTAAAAAGATTGTCTCAAGTGTTATCAGGAGCACATAATGTGGTCACATACAGAGTAAGACCTGCTATGCTATATTTTTTTCTGAATATATTCTGTTGACTGGGATAGAATTATAGTAAATTACTATTACAAGTTGCTTATAGAAAGTAAAATTTGATGAGTTAGTCTTAAAATGTAGGAAATTTTTCTTTTCTCTCAGAGAGGATTATGTCTGAAACACTATTTTCAAGATAAATAAGCTTTCAGCTTACCGCTCAAAGGAAGTTTTTGGTAAATGCAAAATTCTATTCTTATTATATGACTTTGTGTTGGGGTATAAATTTGTACAGCTCCTTTAATGCCACAAGTGGTTTTTTGGTCTTTGTTGTTTTACTCGTCCATCTAAGAATTTTCAGGACGGGGGCACCTGATTTTTGAGCCTTTTTCTTCAACAACCCAATCAATTTGATCAGGCATTTGCCATATGTTTTCATTATCAACTCTTTGATAAAATAAAAAGTTGCATCCTTATGTTATAATCTCACCATCGCAAGATGGGTGTTTGGCTGTTGAGTGTTGAGTATACAAGTGTTGCTTATACAATTTATGATCAAAACAAATGTTCATCTTTTTTTTTTTTGTGTAAATATGGTAATTGCCTCTCCCGCGACTCAAACACAAAACCCCTAGGTATAGCTAACCCCAATGGTTAAAGGAAACAAATGTTCATCTTTTAATGTCAAGTGGACACTGTGTCAGGTGACATTAAAGCTTCAATTAATATAGCAGCTTACAGGCTACTTGCTGACTGGGATGGCTTGTAATTGGTAGCTATGACTTTATTGAATTAATTCATCACTTTTTAACAATTAATGTCGTAGTTTCTTGTTGGTTGCTTAATATTATTGATTAAGTTGTCTAAGGGCTCCCATGTGATCAGAATGTTATTTGGATTTTAGTCTAAGCAACATACCTAGTGGCTAATAAGTGATTGACATCCTATTCACTTGGCATATGATACACCTACTTGTAGAAAAAGCTTTGTGCTTTATGTTCTTTAGCAATAGGTATGTTGCTTTAGCCACTAGCATTTTACAGTATTCCTCTCTATGTGGACCAGTAAGGTTTAGCCAAACCTTTCCTAGAGCGAACTGCAAACTTACGCATACAAGTTTCACTTTTGGTGGTGAAAAAGGATAAATCCTTTACAAATGCTTATATCTCCTATGGCTTTTATATGAGATATTGTGGAGACCAACAAGAGGATTTATGTATACATGAATTGATATTTGATTTGTAACAGTGTATGCTGATGTTCTCTATTTCATTTGGGTGTCTTAGCAATAACTAGAGATTTGTGTCAAATCTTAGTACAATTCTGTCAATTAAAGTAACCATTAAATCATATCTTGATTTAGTGCTGGCTGATGGGGACATCACAATCAAGGGAACTGCAATATGGCTTGTGGGATCATATAGGAGTTGATATTGGATGCTGACCTTCTTGCAAATTGAACATTCCACAATTTTTCCACGCACTAGGTCGTGATCAATTCCAATTTAGGATAATCTACATGCATTTATGGCATTATTTGCTTTCTCAAATTCTCTGACATCCCATACATTTTTTTTAATGCATGTGACATATGTTGATCAATTTAGTTAATACATCAACTTTGTCCTCTATGATTAACTGAAGTGTATCAGTTGAAAGTACTAGTTTGTAATTTTTTTGTCAGTTAGAATATTACCATCACGGCAATCCTGAACCTAACATCTAATTGCATTTACCATGCAGGTCTGCAGTTATGGTTCCAGATCCACAGCTGGACAAATCTCATCATGCTACTGCAGACCAAGTCCTGAGCTCGCTATTGGATTTCAATCCGAGTGATTGGGGTTTGCCGCCATTTGAAGATGCATAAATCAAGATTTCCCTATTTATAAAACAAACGCCTGCATCGTACAGAATGCTATAAGATCATTGATTGATTGATGGAAGTTCTTAATCGTTCAGGTCCCTGAGCATAACTTCCATTTTATTTTTATTATAGGTCAGTCACTTCAACTCTTGATCCAATTGCCATTGTGGCATGAATGCAGTTCTTTCAGAGTAAGATCTATTATTATTTAAATGCGAAAAAAAAAAAAAAAAAACTTTGAGAAATGAACAAGATATAGCTTATGTTATGCAGTTTATATCATGATTCTATTTCAATTATCTTTGTTAAAATTAGGGAAAGGATTAGAGACCTGAACAGTTACAGAAGCGAGCTATCTGTGCAAGTCTCTTAAATACTAGTAAAGTGGTTGGTTTAAATTACGAGTTTAATGCAAGGTCCCTTTGAGATTTCAGTTAATAACAATATTTCCCCTCAGGTATTCCAGAGATTCAAGCGTCCAAGAGCATCTCCAAATGACTCTTTATATGATCCAAATTCTTTATTATAAAGAGTTTATTCATAAAAACAAGAATTTAATAGACTCTTTATCCTTTAAATATAAATTAAAGAGTGAGTTTGACTTTCTACATATAAAGAGTTAAATTTTACTATGTATCCTAATTTTAATTTATAAACTACAAGTTTTTATGCATTTTATTTATTAATTCTCTCTCCTATTAAGTCTATTTCTTGAAAATAAAGAGCATCTTTGTTAAATTTAAAGAGTATTGGATTTGAATAAGAATTTGTTCTTTATATTTAGAAATCAAGATGCTCTTTATTTATATGAAAGATACTCTTTAAAATAAAGAGTATCATCGGAGATACTCTAACAGACAAGTTTTATCTTTGCTCTTAAAATTGAACATCGAAACTCAAGTTGCGTTTGGGAGGCAGAACTGGATAGGATTGGATTAGGGTTAGGATAGGATAGGATATGATTGAATTACAATCATATTGTCTTGTGTTTGGTGAAGCATAGGACTGGAGAAGATAATTTAAATTTAAAATGAATTAAAATCATTATATATTTTAAATATAATAAATTGAATATTAGTTTTACACAATGATTTAATATTTTAAACTATTATTTCATTAAATGTATAAAAAATATGTAACATATTTTTTATAATTTAACATAATATTTCTTATTCTTGATAAAAAAAAAATTAAAATTAAGTAATACAAAATATTTATTAAAATATTTATGAGAAGATATAAATTATTTAAGATTATATAAAAATTAAAAATAATATTTATAATATTTAGATAATAAGATATTATTATTTATGATATTAATTCTAATTATTAATTTATTTAATATAAATAAATTAATAATTAGAATTTTAATATTTATAACATTTTGAATGAGAAATATTTAATTAATGCTTTAAAATTTAATCAATATATTATTATATATATAATATTTATTATTATTCCTTATGATATTATTAATTTAGGTAATAAATTAAAGTATGTATAAAAACTCTAATAAAATAATATTTATTATTAACATTTTTATAATAAAATACATTTTTTAAAAATAAAAACTATTTTTTATATTATATTGATATTTGTAGATATATTTTTAATATTCTTATAAATTAATTTAATTATTAAGTTTTTAATACACATAACATATATATTAAAAAAAAAAATTTCCAATCCTGGGGATAGGCATGCCATGGGCCCAACCCATCTATCGGGATTAATCAAAGAGATCGGATTAGGTCTATTCCAACCCCATTCTTCAAGAAAATTAACCGAACATGGAGATGACTAAGTTGTTAGTCCCAGTCCCACCCTTTATCCTGGTTTATCCCATCTTCCAAACTTGGCCTAAATGAAATACTAACAACTCTAAGGAGAAAATTGTTTAAACTTTTTCAAGACGAAGTTCCTATAATGATTAATGAGTTGCCTATCCAGCTTAGGCCACAATATTTTCATATTCACCTATGTAAACTGTAGCTAAATTTATTTTTCATTTATTAAAAGTTTTAAATTAATCTCTAAAAAACTCTCAACAAGTCACATATCTAATTAAAGTATAAATTTACAATCAGGCTTAAACTGCGGTGTTCCATGTCAACTTTAAAGTCCAATATCAAGTAAATCAAAATATACGTAATCGCCACTTTGTGAACTTAAGACATACCTTTGGATAACCCCCCACACGTTAGAAGTCTTATCGTTCGACCACAAACTACTGTTCTATGGCTAATGTCGTATACTCTTAAAATTCAAATCATATTTACGAGCAGTTAATGGTTTATTATCCTAGTAATCCTAGAAGATAAATTTCCTTTGTTTTTGATATGAAATTTTGTGAAAGTTTAACTTTTAGCGTTTATTAGTTGCTATTAACTATATATCTGGATTTTTTTATTTAAATCCACGTGTCCGGCATCTGAAAAATTTCATACAACACAAACAATGGGTTAGGATTTTTCATTACAAGAATTAAGTGAATCAAAAACAAGACAGGCGACTTGTGCAATAAGAAAGTAAAACATACTTTGGGAACAAGAAAATGTTTCTAACCCAAAGCGCAGCACCTCTATGTAGGTTGTCTGTGGTCGGTTTCTTACCTTTTTCCCGCCTTTGCAAGCAAATGTTTCAATGTCTTGATAGAAGAGAGGAAATTATTCTTTTTTTCCCTTTTAAATGATTTGCATTTATTTATATAAAAAAAGGCATTTTAAATGTTACTAAACAACTATGAATTGGGCCTTAACTTTTTTTTTTTTTTTTTCAAATGGGTTTCATAAATGAAAATTTTGTATTTAAATTGTGAAATTGGGTATTACCAATTCAATGATACTTTTATCATAAACTTATAATTATAAGACATAAATATCCGAAAAGACAATGAGAAGACATCAGTATCGATATTTTTAAGACGGATAATATACATAAGATGGTAGTTAGTAAGTTGCTTTCGTATCTTATCCTTTTAAATTTAGGTATCTAATTTTTATTTTTTTTATTTAATAAAATAAATGTAAATGTCAGAAAAGAAAATTGACAGTACTGCAACTGTTTAATGCTTTGATTTGTTCAGAGAAATTAAATGAACATTAATTATTTATCAAACATAATTAAGTGGAAATCGATTGATTATTTAATTAATTATATTTAAAACTTTTTTATAAATGCTTCTACCTCTGGAGGATATATAAAATAAAGAGAAATTAATACATCAAAAGGCATTTAAACCTAATTTATAAATCAAATCATAAAAAACCCAATAATTATTTCGTGCAACAAAAATATTTCAAATACACTCTTAATTAATGGTCCTAAACTTGATTAGAGTATCAAGCTAAAGTTATAGCTAATAAATTGTTTTTAGACAAAATATTTAACAATGAAAGCTTATTTTACCTACTTCAATCTACTAATAATAGTATAAAGTACGGTGCACTACATATATAAATGGACAAACCATGGCATAAATCTAATTTTAAATCGTACTTAACATTTTTTTTTTTTTTTTTTTTTTGTTGAGTAAGTATGCACCGGTAAAAAGAGAATGTACGAGGAGGTTAGAAAAAATGATCATCCTACCTCAGGACAAAGTCTGGTTTAAGAACAATAGAATCAATTAACTTATACAAGACTAAAAGAGGCAAAAAACAAGAGTAGGCAAACGCTCTCTTCCCTTGGGTTAGGAAACAAAAATCAATAAGCCTATACTGAATTGAAAGAAAACAATAAAAAAACTTATTCCTACCTCATGACATACCTTCGGTTAGGAACAAAACAAAACAAAATACAATAAAAATGAGAAACTCACCTCTTTTTTGTCTGTCTCATCATATCAAACTAGATAGGAAAAAAGATAAATGCTCATGAAACCACCAGAGGAAAAATCTACTCTGAAAAAGAATTTAAACCAAGGCAAACTTCTCTACTTTCCTTTTTTATATTTTTTCTTCGTGGTACTTTATATATATATATATATATAGCTCAATAAAATTAAGAATAACTTTAAAGAGAAATTGAATAAAAATAATTAAATTTCAAGGGATATATGATTGATTGTAATTGTAGTGGCTAACAAGAAGGACCACTGAGTTAATGTTAATTGAAAACTATTCACTTGTCATGAAGAGACATTAAATACATGCTTTAACTAACTCCACCTAATAAAGGGTCCATACCTTAACCAACACCACTTTAATTTTAATGGTCCACATTTTCTCTTCTTAATTATTTATCACTTTGAAAAATTAAGTCGGGTTTGATTCATGATTCGAAAATAATTTTTGAAAGTTGAAATACAGTTCAAAATTTTGAGTTGTCTTGATCTTTTTGTTTATAATGTTTGAATATTGAAAAAAAATGATTTTTGGTCATTTTTTTTTTTAGCATTTTTCTATCTCTTGTTTTTTATTCCAAAGTATGGAATTATCAAGTTTAGGATTGAATACGTATAAAGATGAGAAAAGTCAATCGTCTTCATCAAAATTATTCAATGAAAACGTACGTATTATATCATCTTGTCTAAGCAATAACTTCGTCAAATGAGATATCATTACATTGATGTTAATTTTAAAACGTATACGTCATACCATCACGACTAATAATAGTTTATTTCACTATATATATATAACTGATATATTTTTGGATATGCATGTGAGTTATATTATTGATTTATATTTTTCTAATCAAAATTAATTTAACCTAGTAATGAAAATTATATAACATGGTAGCTAAATGTAGTGATTACAACTACAAAAGTAGTTGTTTTCTTGATTTCAATTAATTTTTTAAAGTATAATATATACTGTAGTAAAATATTATAAATAAATTAGATCGATGCGGCCACACTAAATTTCTTACCTAACATAATTAAAAACCTTAACAATAAAGGGCACAAATCTATGTATAGAGTAGATAGCTAGATTTTCGATACCTTCCCTACTTAACCCAAATAGATACAAGATTTTGTGCCTGCGTGCGCGTGCGCATATATGTATAGGAGGTTGAAAATCATCACAAAGTTTGTTGAGATGTAAGGAAATGTGTCCGATTGTGAGTTTTTACTCGTTTTCTCTAATATTTATTGTGTTTGAGTTCGTGTTTCTATTAACTATTAAATATATATATATATATATATATATATACAAGGAACCTAATTTCTATTAGGGATTAAAGATTTTCATACACATAAATATAGAAGAAGTTGAGAATCCAATATAATTATTAATTACGAGTGGCGAATTTGTGAGTGCCGTCACAAAGTTTGTAAAAATATAAACTAGTTGTGAATTTTTGGTTGTTTTCTTTAATATTTTATCGTAAAATTAGAATTATATTTCTTTGCACTAAATAAAAAATACAATGAATGTAATTTTCATTAGGATTTGAAGATCTTCGTAGCCTATATTTATAGGAAGTTGAGAGTCAAATTATTTTAATTATGCGTGGAGAATTTGTTAGGGTCACAGTTTGTTTAAAATGTATATGTCTTGGGATATTTTGTACTAGGTTTAAATTGGATACCATTACTCTTTTTGGGGAAGGTTATTTGCTGTTTTTTTTTTCTTGTACTTCTTGTGATATTAATCGATTTTTCCTTTTCATATTTAGATAAGTAGACTTTACATAATTGAACCACGTTAAATTGTCCTATCTTTATTGTACATTTACTTTGTTGGTAATCTTGTTATTTAGCATTTTTTTTTTTTTAAATGATGGAAGATGTCCAGACCAGTTTACGTGCACCTCAACTAATCATTTGGAATCCTAAAACTACCTATCGAGTAAGAGTTCCAGTAACTACCCCTATTAGCAACCAAGGAGAGGTTCAAACTCAGGATCTGTTAAGTAATACACCCAAAAGTTCCTATCGAATCACTCGGACACCTAGAAGCGGTTTATTTAGCATGTTTCTTGTATTTTACAACAACTATAATATCTATATACTGTATATCTCAAAAATATTCTTTATTTTGAACATTTGCATTTTCTCAAATTAAATTTAAATCAGAAATTCTATATCTAAATATTTTTTTACCTATAGAATTTAGGTTCATGTTGATCAAGTACTAATTTGTATTAAGAACAAAAAATAAAATGCAAACATCAAATGAAGAGAATCTCGAAATAAACCAAATCAAAGGCACAACGCATATGAATATAATTCCTTATATCTTATCATTTCCTCCATTTAAACCCCATTTCCCAAATTAAGCTTATTCCATGCAAGATTGGCAATTGATTTTGATTCTTTACGAACACCAAAATAAATAAATAAATAAATAAAAATTACAAAATTAAACTAAAACCACACTTACCTAAACACGATTCGATCTTAAAACTTTCTATGCAACCTTAAGAGATTCAACCGATTGAATTAACGAATATTCACAAATTATGGCAATATGAATTTAGTAATTTTGATAATAGAGCATGTATTATTGAATTTACTTGTCCAAATAACGATATAAAAATTAGTGAAGTAACCTTTGAACTTATATAAATGGACAATCTCATTTATGATGTAAAGAAACCATATAGTATAAGTGTTTTCAGTAGAGGAATTTTAAAGTAAATTGCTAGTAATTAACAATAATGACGATCAAGTGATGAAAATATGTTGATTAATGTTTTTTAAACGGAGATAAAAAAGTAATTAATGACATATATGAATATTCCACTTAAAAATTTTCTGGGATTATAATATATAGTCTCTCTTCTTAATTGAATCTAAATTAACCAAAAGAAAAGAAAAGAATTTATGAACAAAGAAGCTGAAAAAAGAACAAAAATCATACTAAAATTAGTTAATAAAATAATTAATAAGGGAAAAAGTATTTTATTCATACAAGGAAAGAAGGGAACTCTACACATGCAAATGTCTAAACTAATAGTACATTACATCGATCTCATATTATATTTTCCCAGAACAGATGTTTAGGTTTGGATTCATCAATTTGGTATCTTCATTATAAGCCACCAACTCATCAAAATGCCAATTAAATTAAATTTTATGGCAAGCTTAATTAAGCTATGCCTCTTTTTCTCTTTCTCTTCCTCCCTGCCTAGAATTTCCCTTTACCGGCAGTATCCTGATTCTCTTTGCAACCCGTACAAAATCCCTATTCACATTCAAATAAACAATTACCATTAATATATATATAACCAATATGAAAAAGAGTTTTGATTACTTTGACTTAATTTTTTGATACTGTTTGTTAACAGTTCATTTTTGTTGAATGTTTCATCTCATAAATAATCTCTATCCACATTCAAATAAATCATTACCATTAGAAAAACTGAGTTATGCAATACAGAAAAAAAAAAAAAAAATAATTGAATTATTTAACCTAAAATTTTAATAATAGTTATGAATCGTTTATCTTTTGTTAATAATATCCATTTTCATAATTGAATTAGCAAAAATGATCGACTCACCGTATAAAAAGAAAAATGAAGATCTAAAGAGGGTTTTAATTTGTATCATTTAGAATTTATTCACGAAGTAATTGATTATTGATAAAATAAGAATAAATATATATACATATGACACGAGTATATTAATCAACATACTTCCAGTTAAGGTCGCCCGCAAGGAGGAGATCATTTTCCATGTCTTCATAAGCAATGAGGTGACCAGGAACGGCATTAGAGAGATCAAGATCATGCTCGGAAATTCCCGCAACGTCGCCGCCGTCGACGAACATTTGCCGGAGGGCCTTGGCTAGACTCTGGTAGCTTGCATGCTTGTGGAGGCTGATGCGTTGGCAGATCGAACGGCCCTCGAGAACCACAGTAACAGGAGGAACAACAGTGGCCACAAGATCATCATCAGCAAGACCAGGAAAAGAAGGAGGAGTTGAAGCTCCAAAAAGCGTTGTGGTGGTGTTGTTCATATTTGGAACACCTGGTCTTCTCTCTTGCCATGAAGATGGCGATCTCCTTTTCAAAGATGAATTATCAAACCTATTCATCATCTATCTAATCAAATTATAAAGATTATAATTTGATTTTGCTAGAATTGCACATGAAAAAGAGAAGTTTATCTATATATTTATATAGAAGGAAGAAAGAGAGAAGGGGTTTGGTGTAAAGTGGGATTTGTGTTAGAGAAAGAGAGGAGAATTTGAATGAAGAGGTGTAAACTGAATAAAGAGGTTTAGTCTTAATTTGGTGTAAGTTTAGAGAGAGAGTGTTTGTATATAAGGGTAGGACTAGGAGCCCACCTGTCTAATGTCTTTTGGTAGAATTTTGATTCCATTCCAAATAGATTTTTTAGGCGCAGACATCATGTTTTAGTAATAAATCGTTTACTAGTATCAATAAATGAATATGCAAGAAAAAAAAATTAATCTAATCTCAAAAGGGTTTGATTTGATTTTTTTTTTTTTTTTTTATTGTGATTTTTGGGGGTGAGTTTGATGAAGTTATTGGGAAAATACAGGGTAAATAAATGAGCACACATGCAGGGAGAGAAAGCACAAGTGTCGGGGAGGAAGAGGATGGCGTCGGAAGGTTGCTTACCCTAAACTTGAGGTTTTCTGATTCTTTTTTTTTTTTCCAATTTCAAAGCAATTTAATGGCTTCATTCCATCTCTCTCTCTCTCTCTCTCTCTCTCTCTGTGAATTCAGAAAATTCAAAATTACTAAAACCATAACTCATTCTTCCAATCTCACTGGCCGATCTGGGACCTCTGTAGCTCTCAGCTATCTTTTCATATATATACAATAATTAATTTATCAGAAATGTAGTACCTTCGAATCAAATTTCTTTCGTATACATATTTTTCTAAGAACCCATTATTGGTGACGTTCTCAAATAATCAACCAAAATTTCGACATGAAAAATCTGCTAACAACCAAAATTTCAGTCAAATTCTTGCCAAAACGAAAATTGTCTTTAAAAATTCTCCTGCAAATCCTGAAATTTAATGTAAACCAAAAGTAAAACGTCTAGTCGCCGGCTTTGTTTTTTTAAGGCTTGTGAAGTTATTAGTAACAAAAGCTGACATTTAATTTATACCTTACAAATTTCATAATTTTAATATTGTTATCGCGTGGTTTTAAAGTACAAAATAAGGGTAAATATTTGAAACACTGCCTTTACAAAATATGAAATCTTTTTTTTTTTTTTTTTTTTTTTGTTATGAGCTGAATGTTGGACAAACTTATGTGTACTCAACTAATCTTTCGAAACTAAAACCACTTGTTGGATAAGAATTTCAATAACTATTTCTATTAGTAATCGAAGAAAGATTCAAACTTATAATCTCTTGAAAAATATACCCTTATCAAAACTAACATGAATCACTTTATTGAAATCTTATAGATTCTAAGGACTTCGTTGCACATTAGAGATCCATTAATATTTAATTTTAATTATATTCGAATTATCAAAGAAAGATGTACTATAGCTTTCACATCAACGGAGAGATGGTGGGAGGGAGAGTGTAGGGATGTTTGCTTGTGAGTGCAAAAGAAGGTGTGTGAGTGTGTACTAAAAACACTATAATATTATCTTTGAATATTCATGTTTGCTTTGTTATATTATATAGTGAAGGCTGTGAAGGCAATTTTTTATTATAAAATAAGTTTATATTTATGGGGATGGTGATAAAATGCGTGAAGCTAAAGCAAGCATTAAATTATATATATTTTAATTAAAACAAGATCGAATATAATTAAAGATTAATTAATTAATAATTAGTTAATTGAAAAACAAATAATAAATCTTGTAAATTGTAATGCATGGGCGATAGAGTAGAGACGACCGCGCTACGGTCGGCGAACGGCTCGCTAGTTTGACTCTGAGGCGGTCGGGAAGTCCACGTCATCATTTATTATTATTTTTTTTTTTACTGTTGTGCCCCTAGTTTAACTTTAATAGTGTACTTAAATGGTAAATTAAGGGGGTCATTTGGGTCATTTATGTTATAAATAATACAAAATTAGCTTGCTAATTTCAACAACTACAACCCCCAAGCTTTGCCACACGACAGTATGAAATTTAAGATTTTAATGAAAGTTGTAATTTCTTGATTTTAATTAAGATTTTCTACCAAGGAAAAGTTTCAAGTGAAGTGTTTTACACGTTATTTATACATTTGTCTAATAAAAATCTAATATGAATTTATAATAAGGTTTAATGATTAAACTTTCGGTTAGGTTAGTCAAATCTAAACTATGTAAAAACTGATAAATCATTCTAATTTTATCATTAATCAATAATTATCAAACAAAATTTCATAAAACCAGACCAATTGGGTTAGGAGTTAAAAGCAATAATCTATATTTCTAACAAAAAAAATTAATAATAAAAGTTTGGTTTAAAAAAAGAAAATTTCATAAATTTGTACTTAAGAAAATTTAGATCTCCCCACAAAATAATATTTTCAGTAAGCCATAAAATTTGATTCTAAATTAACTTCAAGTGTATTGATAATTAATTTGGAAATAATTTGTTAATTAATTGAATAAAAAAAACTATTTATGCACCTAATTTCTGACCTATTATTTATCCATACAAAATTAGAATTATAGAGAATTAATGTCAAAGAAATATTATGATTATTGTTATACTATATCACCTACTTCTATTTGCTAGAATAATCAAATCAATCAAATCGTACATCATGAAAACTAATAATTATTTACCCAAATAAAAGAAGACACCAAGAAGAACTTCATATTTACCCAAATAAATATTTGACTTTTAATTCATATTTAACTTCATGTGAATTTGTACTAATTAAGTAGGTCAGTATCCTGAAAATTATGGAAATTTGAACAGAATTTATCAATTTTAGTCATTTTAAGTCAATATATTTAATTTTTCTAAGAATTAATTATAATACGTATGAAAGATAATTTGATGATTCTGTACGATGTTTTAATATATATTATAAAAATGATTGACAAATAAACACTCAATCAATCTATTGATTAATATTGCCGCTAAAACTTGAAATTTAGATTATAATTTTATTGAAAATTTAAGTTAATAAAATAATGAACAAAAAAAAATTACTTTGGAAATTGCTTGAATTTTTCTATTTCCCCTTTTTCTTTAAAAATAAATTAAATATTTCCCGGCTATATATAGTCTCCTCTAATCCAAATTTACTTGCAATTTTACATTAATATTTCAATATTATTATAAAGTGTTGATTGTATAACTCATAATGTTAAGCATAAAATAAAACAAATTAAAATAATATAGACATTTTAATAAAAAGGCTTAAACAATTTACCAGGTTATTTCATAAGCACTTTCCATGCAAATGAATTTTTAATTCAAATATTATAAAATAAAATGACTATCAAGTCTCTGGTTCTCTTAAAAAATACAGAATAAATCTAAATTTATTTGATTAGGTGGGCACCATTTCGTTGACTTGTGTTATGATTTTAATTGTTTTAAAATAATAACAAAATATTTCATAAACAAAGTACAATAATAATTGATTTACAACTTAATCATAAAATCAGATAAAAATTATACAAAATTTACATAAAATAACTATTTTATCATTTACTTTTTGTATTATATGACTCAGTTGTAAACATAAAATATCATGTTTGTTCAAAAAATAAATTCTAAAAAGTTAGTTCATATTCTAAACTAAAAGTTTTTATTAATTTTGAGCATTTCACATTGCATAATTAATGTATAATTTGATCATTACGAGAGAATAAATTCTTATCAATTTGGTAATAATTTTGAAATTGACAAAATTATATTTTGATAAGAAGTAAGAACTTTACGTCATGTTTCATTTCATTTTATAATATAATGTTATGAAAATTTAGTGATCTAATCATATTATAAATGGTGTCTTATCTTGTCAATTAAATGTTATCTCAACTTATAAAGTTGATCAAAATTTCAATTGATTTTGATTAATTGATGTAAATTAGTGGGCAATTAGTATTTGTCATGCTATATAGTATTAATTATTAAATATACAAAAGATACAAAGAGTTTTTTTTTTTTTTTAATCAACGAGATGTTCTGCTCAGTTTGCATAAACATTTATTTTATATATCATAAAATTATATCATAGGTATATAGATATGTTTGTTACAAAATTACAAGTGATAATTCTTACAACCAGATAAGGAAATAAAATAAATGTTCTAAAATAATAAAATAAAGTAACCACACACAAAGAAAACTCAATTTTGTAAACTAAAATAGTGAGATTGAGTCTTTATTATAATAATGGGTATTTATATTTCATTGAATTATATTCAAATTATTATTATTTTCCATATGAATTTGACTTCTTTTTTACTTGTTACATATATTTTGTTAATCTTAGTGTAGATTTTGAAGGGTTAAATTTCATCTTTTTCACTTCCAAAAACAAAATACAATAAAAATTAATATTGAAATTGATCATCATAGAATATCATAAAGAAAAAAATTAATTTTTATTTTTATTTCGAGGATTAGGTTCCTGCAAGAATCTCCACCCTCATTCGGAGATCCCCATCCTTGTCCCCGTATCGGTCAAATCGAGGATAGGGATCAAATCCCCTTTCGAAGATAGGGATGGGGATGATGATTTCCACCCCGACCCACCCTTATTGTCATCGTTACACACTTGATTAAATGGTTTTCGAATCAATTTCTAGAACTAGAGAATGGGTTTCTAGCCATCTAGAGATCAAGTGTTAATAAACTAGGTATATTTCCTTTCCAATGTGTGACTTTAACATTTTAGAAAGAGTAAACGACATATTCCCACCCAAGGTTTGATGAAATCCCAAGTTGATACCCCAAGTTCCATTTATTTCAGATTCTCACCCTTAAAGTAACGGGAAATTGTTAGATATAACGATTCAGGGGTAAATTGGTTATTTTGCAGAGGAGGCGCACATTAGCTAGGGGTGGGATAATCCGGTTAACCAAACCGAATTATCAAAACCGAAAAGTGAACCGGTTTTTCGGTTTGGAGAAAATCCAAACCGAAAACCGGACCGATTTTGATTAAACATCGAATGTAAACCGAACCGAATATTCAGTTCAGTTACCGGTTTTCAACAAAACTAAAGAAAAATAAACATATTAGATTAATGATAAACTACAAGACAACCACAAAACAAATGTCAATTACTTATCTAAACTTGAATTGCATGCATCCTCCATTCTCTTAGCCATGCGCTGGAAGCCCATATCACACTTCTTCACTAAATCATCCAATACCCATCCTTCCACTGGATCAATTGTGAACCCCCACTCAATCACACACCAACTTTGATTTTCGCCTTCATTGTCTTCTGGAACAATCTTGACCATTGAAACATATGACTTGAACCCAATGTTGTTGTCAACTATTTCATAGCTTAAACTGCGTTGAACATGATCAACGCTTATTAATCTCTCTGTGGACCAGCTAGCTTGAGGGTTGTTTTCATTGCTAGTACTAGGTGAAATTGAATAGCCAGAACAGTATTGGATGCAACCAGTTTGACCGTTGATTCCATGGACGCCATAGCAGGTGGCTAGACTTGAAAACCATTTATGTAAGTTGAAGAAGTCTAAGAAAAGAGGCCATATTTTGATGACTCAGAAAGCACACTAAAACAAACCCAGAAAGCAAAACAAGATTAACAAAATAACAAACCCAGAAAGCAAAACAAGATTAGTAAAATAAGCAAAATAAGAAACCCACAAAAAAGGGCTTCTGGGTATCAAAATTAACAAGAAAAATCAACCATTAGCCACAAAATAATGACTCAGAATACATAAACTAAACCCTGAAAAACTGGTGGGTATCTCATGTAAATAACCAAACAAACAAACAAAGAATCCATTTGAATCAAGAGTCTGCTCACGATGGAGTCTGCTCAGGGTGGGCCTGCTCACGGTGTGGAAGACTGGAATTGGAACTCTGGAAGTGTGGATGGAGTAGCTCTGTAGCTCACGGTGTGGAAGATTGGAACTAGAACTCTGGAAGTGTAGAGATTTAAGATTTGGAGGCGGAGTCGCAGAGAAGAGTCTGAACTGTGTGTGAAGAGAAATAGAGAGGAGCGAAATTTTTTTTTTTGCTTTTATAGTTAGGGTAAAACCGGTTTTTGATTAACCAGTTTGAAATATTTTTCAAACTGAACCGGTTTTTCGGTTTTTTGAATTTTGCTAACCGAAAACCGAACCGGTTTGTAAAAAAAACCTAATTTTTGGTTCGTTTTGGTTTTCGGATTATTTATCCCACCCCTAACATTAGCAGATCGTCACCCCTAACAAAGCTCCGGTGCATGTTACCCAACATCACCGCCAACGTTTTTTGCCTTTTTCCAACGATTCTTCCACCCAAAATCACCCTTGTCACCACCATTCGAACCCTCATCCTCCCCTCTACAAAACCTTACCCTTCACAACCCTTCATCACTCGTCGATCGCCAGCCACGACAGCCGCCACATGCGACTGGTTTTCGTCGGTCTCCACCGGTGATTGGCCACTAAACGGTTGCTAGGGACATAGGGGTTTTGTATATTTGGAGACACTAGTTGCATTGGTGATGTCCAATTGGATTTTCGTCGCCGGAATTGACCGGAATCCAGCAAAGAACAACGAAAACCTAAGCCTGACGACGTCGGCGATTGGAGGGGCCAATGAGTCGAGGACCAGAGGGGTTTTGGATGACGGATGATGGGGAAGGTGATGGAGGTGACCAGGGGGTTCAACACCATCGGAAACAGCCCAGATCCAGTGAAAACCGAGAGGATGCGCAGTCACTGAGAGTGTAATTGAAGTAATTTGAAAATAAGATAATTTATAATTTTAGTAATTTAGGGGTTAAAACATAATTTATTAATTTAGGGTTAAGGGCATTATGGTAATTGCACTCTCACTACCCTAAAAATTGTTAACAGTGAGAATCTTGAATAAATGGAACTTGGGGTACCAACTGAGATTTCGTCAAACCTTGGGTGGGAATAGTCGTTTACTCTTTTAGAAACTATTAATTTTACTTTCAATTTTCAACATTGTTAACATCATGATTAAAAAATAAAAAATTTAAATAAATAGCCAAAAAAAATTTAGATATACAGTTATATTGACTTTTTTCTTTTGGGTGCAGGGTTGTTTTCAAAATTTTGATTTTTTCTAGAAGATAATTAATCAATGCTACCACAAACTATTATACAAGCTTTGCCGGCCCAGAAAAGACCCATTTCGTCCGCAAATTTAAAATAACTGGGCCCAAAAGTAATAAATTATGGGCCTAAAAGCTCAGACATCACACAAGTTATTCAAAATCAACATTGAACCCAAACCCCAAAAGGCAAAACCCTAAAAACCTCATTGTCAAGAAACTCAAGTGTTCAAAGGGCGCAGATTTCTCTCTTTCTTCGTCTCCAATGGCTGTAAGTGCGATTTGTTTCATTCAATTTTCGTCATTTATCTATTGAATTTGATTTATTTTTTGTTTAACAACTCTATCGTATAATTAGTTAAACTAAAACTTGAGAATTCTGTGCAGTATTTGTTTTGTTTAGTCATATTTTTGGATCGTTAGTGTGAGTAAACCCATTTGAAAAAAAAAAAAATCAGATTGATTTAAATTCGTAGGTAAATTTCATTGATCTCTTTAAGATTTAGCTATAAAAAATTGTAAAGTTTTAATGAAATTCATAGGTAAATTCAAGAAGTTTTGGAAAATTTGTAATATTTATCTGTTAGTAGAACTTCAAATGAAATTGTTTTTGAAGTATATCGAATGTTTTTGGTGTTCCATGAATCTAAGGTTAAAATTTTGCTGTTGATAGTGGTTTGTTTGTTAGTGTTTTGGATATGGTGGGATTTGCCTTGTGTTTTGATATGTTTATGTGACATTTGCAGACCATTCCAGTTAACCCAAAACCGTTCTTGAACAACTTGACTGGAAAGACTGTCATTGTCAAACTCAAGTGGGGAATGGAGTACAAAGGTGATTTTATTTTGTTTTACTTTGTTTTGTAATTCTGGACATTGTTGGATTAGGATGTTATTACGGCAAAATGGCATTTTATTGCCTTAATTTGTTTGTGATTTTTGATGTATTTTACTGGTTTTTTTCTTTTCAGGTTTTCTTGCCTCAGTAGATTCATACATGAACTTGCAGGTGTGAGCAGAAATTCCTTTTTCTACTGTGTTTTGATGATTTTTTAATTTTAGCTCGCCTCTTCTATGTGTAGATCATATGTCTTGATACTGTCTTATGTAATATGTTATTTTGAACCACATTGATGTTGTATGTGTTGGCTTTTTAAAATCATGGAAGCATGAAATTTAATATGTGGACTATCACTTATTAACATCACATGTCACAAATAAATATATGTGAAAGATCATACATATGTCTTGAAAGTTATCGAGAAATGAATTTTACTACCTCAAAGACATCCTTTTGTAGTTTGTATACTTGAAATGGGGACTTGTAACCGCAAGATATATCTTTTTCTTTTTTCATGTAGAAGCTCAGTCGCTCTCTTTTGACAAAGTTGTGTTTTAGCTATGATTTTGACTCTGATTTATGGTAGAAGATATATTTGTTTATACAGATTTTTATAGACAATTGTTTGATTCAGAATGAAAAAATAAAAAATTGTATAGAACAGCGAAAAATGTTTTGATTATGAGTCAAAAGTTGCTGCTAAAACACGATTATTATGTCAGTTAGAAAATTGTTGTGGGTTTTGATTTTAAAAAAGCGATAATCGTATCTTGCGACTGGACCTAAATATACTATAATAAGTTCATAAACATTAAAAGGAAGTCTATGTGAGAGATTGGACTTAATTCTTGATAACTTTCAAAACAAGGATATAATCTTTTTTGGGTTGTCCTAATGTGTGCCCTAAGGCCACATGTTAAAATCACTAAAAAGTAAAATTTTTATTTATTTCAATGCTTTTTATGTATAAAAAGATAAAAAAACACAATTTTCAATGCATTGATATGATAATTTTTTTTGTGCTAGTTTTAGGACATACATTAAGACAACTAAAAAAAATAATCATATCGATTCATTGAAAATTGTGTTTTTTTGTACATAAAATGCATTGAGATAAGTAAAAAAAATTGTTTTCTAGTGGTCTTAACGTGTGCTCTTAGGACACACATTAAGACAAACTCATGTTTATTTGATGATGAATGATGTTAGCAAGATAATCCAAGTTTTAAATTTTATGCTTCCATGATTTTAAAATTCCAGTTCTTGTGGTATTAGTTGAACTTGGCTTTCGTTTTTATTGGGCTTACAACAACCCTTCTCTATATAGGCTGTATGCTGCTAATAACATTTTCCTATCTATGATACACTGTCTGCAGCTAGGCAATGCTGAAGAATTTATTGATGGTCAATTCACGGGAAATCTTGGAGAGATTTTGATTAGGTAATTTCCTCTTAAGTGCTGAAGTTTCTTCCTTGAATTATAATAACTCTTAGATTCCAAATTTAGGAGAATTTGCCACAGTTTAGCTCATGAACTTTTTAAGGAAATTGGAGATCATGAACTTTTTAAGAAAATCGGAGATAAGTTTGGAAGTGAACTTGGAAACTATATAAGATTTTTGAAATTATTTGAAAGTTCGGCATCACATTTATCTGTTGTGTTTGTTAGTTTTATTTATAGGATTAGGTAGATTTTATCTGTCTGTATAAATTGTGTTAATCGCTCAGTCATTGATCTAAACTTTTGAGACTGAGTGACTTACATATGAAAACAATAAAAATGTGATTCAGATTGCCTATCGGTATGATAAATGAGTAAAATGTTTGGACCACAAATGGCAGTACATTATAAATAGGATGAAAAAAAAGCATTGTTGGGTATCTTCTTGTTTATATTTCATTGTTTATATTACATCGCAATTTATAAAATCTTAGGGCTATTGATACAAAAAGTCTAAACATAAATTATGACCTTCAAAGTTCTATTAACCCTTTTGTTTGATATTGTGTTTGCCCGCAGGTGCAACAATGTTCTCTATCTCCGTGGGGTTCCAGAGGATGAGGAGATAGAAGATGCTGACAGAGACTAGTTAGCTTCACAAGCAGTTTAGTCTTGATCATAATAGAACTCTCCCCTTTTTGGCGTAAGGCTTGCTAGTTTGTAATGCTACCCTTAATTAGATGCCGTGTGTAATTTAACTGACATATCACCGGTGTTGCCACTTATGCGGCCGCACTAAACAAATTGATTTCACTTAATTGAATTATGTTCCATTGCCTTGTAAAATCTGGGTTCCGGGTATCTTTGTTTTCTTTTCAAGTATATACCTTGTTTTGGAGCCACATTATTCATGAACGCATTACATTCTCATTTTGAAATGAACCTTTTTTGTCCTTGGTTCATTATGCTTAACTCTTTAAATTATGTATTAAGGAGGTCTACTATTTTTTTTTTTTTTTTTCAATTTATTATGCCAATACGATTATGGAGTGGTGAAAGCATTGTTTTAAAACCCAACTTGGTAAGGCCACAGGTCTCAAGTTGACCGGTTTGACCGGTTAAACCAGTGGTTGTCGGTGATCCAAAAAGTTTGTAATTTTCAAACACACCCTTGAAAAATACTCATAAGTCTTTGCAGGTTTGAAATCTAGCAACTACACCCTTGCGATCTGTTTGGGTTTTGAATTTTTTGGTCAAATTTCGATTGATTTTAGCCGCCAAAATTCAATCTGACACCATCACCTAAACCATCATCCTCCACTCTATAAAACCCCTCTAACCTCGGCACTTGGTAGTCTCTTGTTCATTGGTCATGACTTGCATATTGGGCACTGTTTTAAAAGCCGAACTGGTCGGTCAACCGGTTGGACCGTGAACCGGTCATGTGTCTGGTTCAAGTCAACCTAAAAACTGGCATTATACAATAAACCGTTTTAACCCGTCAATGGACCGCGTGAACAGTGCTGGACTGCCAGTCCAATCGGACCGCAAGCAAAACCGGCCCAACACTGAAAAGGGAAAAAAAATCCCTAATTTTCTCACTTTCTCCCCATCGCGCAGTTTCCTCTTCCTCAGTTCCTCTACGCGCAAAATACTCTGAAAAAATTTGAATGAAATCGCGAAAATCTGAAATCCCACACAAATCAAAACTGAATCTTGCTGAAATCACAACCATTCCTTGCTGAAATTGCAACCATTCGTTGTTGAAATCGATCGCAACTCCAGTCTCTGAAATCGCGACGACGTGTTCCTCCCTCGCCGGAAATCGACGCATGAAGGCTGATTGGCATGTATGTCTTGACAATCCAATTTGATTCAAGATGAGTTGCAAACAATAAATTTAGTGAACATCTTCTGATTCGTACTCTTATGAACTTTTATGGTTAATACCTGATCATATTCACTTTGAATCATTATCTTTTTCCTATTTTTTCTGATTTGGTTCAATTTCTGTAATTAAATCAGAAGGCAGTACTGCTTACACTAGGTTATATTTACTCTGGAGCTAAAGCAGACATCAAAGTTTGGGACCCTTCTGTCGAATCTGACGATGACTACAGTACTTCTCGAGTTAGTCTCCAAAGTGGTCCTTACTAAGATTTTTAAAGCATTGAATCTGGATGGGCGGTTAGTATAACTAAGAATTCTTTTTCAGTTCAGTCATTCATCCATTACAGCACTAGCTAAACAAATACTTTTTTTCTTTTTTGGTTCATAAGTTTTCAGGTAAATCCAAGAGTGGATGGGGATAAGAAGACTCGATTGTATGTATATTGGACCATAAGTACTTGTCAACAAATAAGTTATTATAATTTTTATGGAGGTTAACTTCTTGTGGAGATGTCTATGCTACTAAATACACAACGTAAGATCCAAAATTTTATTTCTTTTCTTTATTAAATAGGTTGATGGATCAAAGGCAACAGGATGCTTTGATCTTACTTGCCCTGGTTTTGTTCAAACTAGCAAGGAAATTGCACTTGGGGTTGCAATTTATCCCATCTCAGTAGCTAACGGCCTTCCATATCAGATAACTATTTACATATTTAAGGTAAAACGAAATGGAACTTTTCTTTCATTGAAAACGCTTTGAATAATATTTTATTCTCATATCTTCAAAATTTTTATAATCCTTTGATTTCAGGATTCAAATACAAGCAATTGGTGGATGCAGTGTGGAGAAAAAATCAACGTGGGGTACTAGCCTCAACTTATTTAGTTTGATAATTAGTGGTGCAGAAAGTGTAGAATGGGGAGGAGAAGTTTACAGCTTAAAGTTGGGGCAATCTCCCCACACTGCAACGGAAATAGGAAATGGAGAATATCCAGACCCAATTTTCGGCGATTCAGGTTACATGAAGAGAATGAGAGTTCTTGATAATTCTCGTATCTTGAAGTTCCCAGAATGGGTATCTACTTATGCAGATGAGTACAACTGCTATGATGTTTACTATATTTCAAATTATATGTGATGACATCATCATGATGTGCTATGATGTCATCAGTCTAACCGATTGAACCATGACCCGGACAGCAGAGTGGGTTGCCCTCCGGTCAGGTTTTTAAAACAATGGTATTGGGTTGAATTTTTGGCCAAATTTCGGTTGGTTTTGACGTCCAAAATTCAATCCGATACCACCACTTGAACAATTGACTTCTATTCTACAAAAACCCTCTAATTTTAACACTTGGTAGCCCCTCATTCACTGATGATCAAATTAGAGATTTTGTGAATAGCAGAAAATAGTAACCCGGATTGGAGAGGTTGTTGGGTCTCAGTTGGACTGGACCGATCGGTTGGTCCGGTCCGATTTTTAAAACAGAGGGTGAAGATAAAGATTAAACAAAAAGAAGAAAATATTAAAAATATATAAAAATAATTGAACAAATATTTCATTTTCATTTCAATTCATGTTAATCAGTTAATGTTTAAATTATGATGTAAAACGAATATGTCATTTTTAATGTCAATTTATATTTGATTCAGTAAGAAAGAATCATCCATTTTTTATTTTTCCATTTTAAGGCTGTAAGATATTTATTAGTCTAAATCAACAGAAAATGACACAACATATGAAACGATTAAACAGGACAATTTAATAGACGTGTCAATTAATAAATAAAAATATAAAAATTCAGAAGAATTATTTAATCACCGCCCAACTTGGGTATCACAAAAATTTCAAAATATAGAAGAATATCAGTTTACTCTCTATAAATTTAGTTTTTCCTCTGACTACCCTCAGTTTTCAAAGTTAGCCCCCATAAATGTAACTTCCAATTTTCTTTCTATCCTGTCATTCATTAAACATGACTTGTAGCCTCCCCAGAAAACTATTTCTACCACCGCCCCAACATTATAGTATGACCCTCTTTTTATCATTCAAAGGAGAACTTATCAAAACCATTGTATCATATCAAAACTTTTATCTGATACACTGATAAAAGTTAGAAAGAAACAAGTGTTTTTTTTTTATAGAATAAAACCATGGGCTAGTTATTTGGCGGCTGGCGACAGCTTATTGAAGGTGGTTGGCTGGAAATGAAGCACGTTGAGAAAAGGAAGTAGCTGAGAATCTGGAATCTACCTACCAAATTCTATTCTCCCAACAACCATAAGCACTTTCTCCAAAAGCTTTGTGAGTCTCAAGTGCTTCAACTATACTTTTATTTTTTAAAGCTTTAATAATAATCACTTTGTTGAAATATATGGGTGGCCTCAAATTGTTGCCACCAAATTTACAGAAAGAGTGACTTGTTGGAACCGTCTTTGCGTGTGTGCTGCGTAAATCAATTGTGGAGATGAGTTTGATTTGGTCAAAGTTTAACCCTTTCTTATTATTATTATAATATTTTTTTTTTTACATTTTTGGTCATTTTCTTATTTCACTTTATTAACCAAATTTGGAAACTTCTTTGTATTAAATGCTTTGTCTGTTGGATTATTTTTAAAGAAAGTTTTTGGGTAACAGGAAGGTAAAAGTCATTTGAGAAATCTTTTTTTTTTTAAACAGGGTGTCCAATCCACTGTTTTAAAAACTGGACCAACGGGTTATGTGCTCGGTTCGAGTCAACATTAAATCCGTTAGTATACATTAAACCGCTTTAACCCAGTCAAAATCTAGATAAAGTCAATGAACCGCTGGTCCAATCGGACCGACGGATAAATCGGTCTGATTTCAAAAACCCCTAACCCTACGCAATCGCACTATCGCAGCCCATTCCACTGATTTCCTTTCTCTGTTTCTCAACTTCTTCTCTTTCTCAGTTTCTATACTAAAATTTCTCAGATTTCTCAGCTTCTCTTCGAAAATTTCTCTCTGAAATCCCACTCAAATCGCAATCAAATTGTAACTAAGATGGCTGTGGCTTTGGCCGGAGAAGATCTAACGAGAACGATGGCCGTCACCCGATGATGCAGTCGGGGAGTCGGTGGAAGTGGATGGCGTCTGCAAGTCTGGCATCAGCGAGCATCCGGGAGGCGTGGAATTCACAAACAAATTTATTCGCACAGAGCCAACGGCAGGATGATGAAGAGGTACTGAGGTGGGTGGCAATCGAACGGCTGCCCACGTATGATCGGTTGAGAAAGGGGATGCTGAGGTAGGTTCTTGAGAACGGGAAAATTGTTCACGATGAGGTGGATGTGACGAGATTTGCCATGGAAAATGAGTGGTTTAGAGTTAGTAAAACAATAAGATGTGGTCAACAAAGTTTGCTTTGGGACTTGGGAGTCAACAATAAGATTGGTTTGAATTTTATGAAGCCGGCGAGCATTAGATATGGTCAATTCATACCAATTTTTAATCCATTTTCTCTGTTAATGACGTCATACTCTTGTTTTCATGAACCAAAACAAGTAAAGCCAACAAGTTATCTTATTAAAACGACAGCAACATCTATCACTTTGAAAATCATACGACATTAAGTATTATTACATTTTTAAAAAGTATATTATAAACTTTTTACTTGGAATCTTATATTTTAAACTTAGTATCTATTTAAATTAAATTACAAGTTTTAACTTATGATTTCTATTTTTCATTGAAATTTACGTAGATGATGGTGATGGTTATGATGATGATGATGATGATGAATTTTGATGCTAGTGAGTGAAACTCAATCAACATGGAAACGTATCAAAAAAAAAACACTTGCATCAAATGTTTTGTTACTAATTATTATGTATTTTATCATTTAATATGTAAATACAACATCATATTTGGATTTGGACTTTGAATTGTTGTTAAATACTTAAATTATGTTGTGATTATTGTTTAATTTGAACTTTGAATTGTTGTTAAATACTTAAATTATGTTGTGATTATTGTTGAATTTGAACTTTGAACCATGTTATACAGTAATTAAGTTATTATTGTCTTATTAAAAAATAGAAATCTGAAAAAAAAAATGTTTTTTTAAAAATATACTGATGTCATCATGATGTGTGATGACGTCACCGAGCTAACCGGCGGTCTAACCAGTTGAACCGTGATCTGGCTAACAGAGCGGGTTGTCCTCTGGTTCAATTTTTAAAACAATGGTCCAATCTTGGGAGCTACGGGACTTTAAACGAGACTGTACGTCTTAACCATACATCCGAAAGTTAGTCTTATCACTCGCCTTCCAAGGTGGGTATGTCATCTGAGAATGTTATTGCATATGCACTAAATCCAATATGGTGTATCTATCAATAGAATTATTAATGTGAAAAATATTTTAATTAAATTAATGTCAGCCAAATGTTTTTACTATGAGTTCATTACAATGTTACATGTTCCCCTCAGGTATAACTAAATAAATTATTCCTCCTTAAGTATCATAAATAACAATTGCAACCTGCTGTAACTTCAGTATTTCATTAGGGTTTTAGAGTTTAATTTGACAGATTAAATGTAAAATGTACTAGGCGAATGACGAAAACTTTAACAAAACCATGACTATAAGAGGTCAATTGTTATTTGCGATACTTGAGGGGCAAAGGATTGTTTCATGAAACCTCGGGGAGTAACTTGTAATAAATAAACTATTTGTCAACGTCTCACCACCTCTGATTTTGTTCAGAGTCTAATAAAATCAAAATTTATAATAATGATATTAATTATTATTTAAACCATCACGTCTTAATTGGTAAATTTAAATACATAAATTGAACTCTAACAACATCACGAGTTCAACAAAGATTTGATGGTAAAACAAAAACCCTTTTGACATTTTTGCAACAATTAACAATTTGAAATTGGATTAAAAATACAGAATTAAACAATCTGACGTGAAAGAAGAAGAAGAAAAAAATACACACAAAATAGAGTATCAGAAAGCAAACTTGAACTTACATTGTCCATGCAAAACAGTTACATAAAAAAGTAATACAACATTTTTATCTGTCATTTGAACCACTTTTCTTGGTTCATTACAGGGAACCTAAATCCCTAGAGGTAATTAATTATCATATTTGCGTATAATAAGAGAGATTAAATTACAAGAACAAAAAAATCCTTCATATGGGAAGGGAAAAGAATCACATAACCGACTACTAACAACATTTTAATTGCCGATCCAGGGGCCAGGAATCGCAAATGGCAATTGCATTAGCCCTATTCATAGATTTCATTTTATCCCAAGCAGGTTGGCTCAGGTTTATATATAACGCAAAGTTCCTTGAATATTTTTTTTCCAGCTAATACATATATTATGCTTAGGAAGAATCATCACCATACGTCACGTAGATACCTGCCAGTCATTTGCAGATTCTTCACCATGCTCTCAGCCTTGGAGCTGTCTAAGGATCCCTGAAATCAAGTAAGACAGCACAATTGGGTCAAAAGGAGTGACTTTGAATGACCTAAGAAATCCAATTGAGAAAAAGTAACAAGTAGGAACATTTGTAATAGCATGAAAGTGACGGTTTTGGTGTGTCACTACATGCATCTTAATATATTTCTCTTTATATCTCCTAGAATAACATGAGATGATGAATTTTTGTTTATAAGGCAGAAAACATCAAAATCTCATATGACGTCATGCAAGCAGCAAAATCTTTTAAGTGGGCTCCCGTTTATGAGCAAATCAAATGCATAATTCCTAAAGTTTTATTTGTTCCCAACTAATTATACCTAACCATAAAATAGGAAGGGAAAGCCCAAAACTGCTTGTAACTTTTCAAGCATGTTCTGGTTTTTATGGGTAGGTGGTAACTACAAACGTGTGCATCAAATCAGCAAATTCTAATTTCGGGAATTCACTTCTATTAACATACCTGCTCTTGCACAATTGTATGGAGAGTCCGGTGGACATCTCTAGCCATGCCTTTGGCATCACCACAAACATATAAGTAACCTCCCTGAGAGATCATGTTCCAAATATCCGAAGCCTGTATCAAAAAAAAAAAAAAGGGAAAAAAATGAGCTTATGATTACATATCACCATACCTTCTCCATCATATGTTCAAAATCTTCTTTCTTACAAGATATAGATACCATACCTTCTCCATCATTTTATGCTGCACATATTCCTTGGTGGGTCCTTCACGGGAGAAGGCAACAACCAACTCTGAAAGTGCACCACTTTGGACAAAGTTGTTGAGCTCATCCTCATAAATGTAATCCTGTAAATTAAGCAAATTAACATAAAATTCTGGAATTACAGAAAATAGCAGCCACCCAAATCATGGCAGCACTCCTACAAGTTATAAGGCCATAAACTTACCATTTGGCGATTGCGACATCCGAAAAATAAAATGGAGGGTCCCAGCTCTACTCCATCTTCCTTCATTGCAAATCTTTCCTGAAAAGGACAAAAACATAATTACACATTAGTTCAAGATACCATGATAAAACATAAAGAATGACAAAATAGATATTGAATGTCTAGTGTGCCAATAACAACCTGCAGGAAACCCCTGAAAGGAGCCAATCCAGTGCCAGGGCCAATCATGATAACAGGCACTTCAGGATCAGTTGGAAGTTTGAAGTTCGATTGCCTGACAAAAATAGGAGCCCAGCTGCAATCACTGCTTTTCTCCAGAGGGACACAATTCTGCAATAAGAAACAACCTCAAATGGTGAACTTGTATGAAAATGTCACAATAAAAATGTAATTGGGTTTGAAACCGAGAGTTAAAAGAGCCACTTAAAATTGAATCACATACAGGCTCCCGTACTTGCACACAAATGCACAGTGCACATGTACATAAACATCTTGTTTACTAAAGTAGTTCATCCAGGCATTAATGACTACTTATCTAGCAAAGAAAGTTTTCGAAAAAAAATTCCAAGCTTCTTAAAATTTTACTTAATTTAAGTACCTTCATCCATGTGGAGCACAATCCTTTGTGAATGCGTCCTGCGGGTGTTTTCTCATAAACCAGTGCACAAGTAACATGAATTCTGGAAGGTGCCATCCTGTAGACAGTTTTAAGTACAAAATTAACATACCCTTGAATGAAATATATATGAAAAATGGCAAAAATAACAACTACACAGTTACAGTGACTAGTCCTTAAACACATTTTACCCAACTACAAGAACAACAATTGAAAAATTCCCATGACTAGGAACTCAAACAATAAATAAAAATCACGATAATCACATACTGGTACATAAAATCTCAATAAACTATAAAATAGAAATTATATTCACCTTGGTGATGAAGAAATTGAATAGTATCTAGGTTGCAAGCGTGGAACAACTGCTGCAAAGAAGACACCAAGTGGGGGCTTGGCAGAGGGAAATTCAGCCATGACCTCCAGGAGGCTTCTTTGACTTGCCACTATCCATTGTGCATATTCATCCTGTATAAGTGCATAATAAAAGTTAAAAAAAAGAAAAAGAAGCAGAGTAAGGGACTATTAGTGCTAAACAATTCATTCTATAAGATTTATAACCTTTCCAGCAGGTGATGCAAGATATCTTAACCGATCAGCTTCAGTGGGGTCAGATGCATGAGCTGCTAAAGCGAGTAATGCAGACTGGCAAAAATATGCAATTAGGCAATCAGTTGTTTGAAGTACAAAGAAACTACAAAAAGGAAAGGAAAAGTATTTGCCTGATGCAATGATACAAGAAAATAACCAACCTTTTTAGGAGAACTCAAAAGATCAGCATATTTAGTCAATGCTGTTCTTAAAGTGCATGGTGGGAAAGTAGGAGGCAAGGAGCTTCCACCAAGTGGTGTGCCATCCTCTTTATCAGAATGGATGGAGAAATAAGTATCTGGTGATAAGCCTAACAATTTCAATGCCTCCTCTACAGTCTCAATTAAGTTCTCACAGTAAACACCAACATGATCCCCTGTTTCATACCTGAAGAACAAAATAATTATGTTAAGTAGATGAAGAGATGATCATATACCATAAGTACATAAATTTTGTGTTTTTTAGAACAGCATAAGGTAATTTAAGAAAAAAAGAAAAATTAAATTATATCAATAATGTACATAGACACAACTAAATAGAAATAAAAACTTACGAGAGTCCAGTGCCAGCAATGTCAAATTCCAGATGAGTGCAAGAGCGATCAGATTGTGGAGTATGAAGCTCCTTTCTTACTGCCACATTAGACCTACAGCAGCAAACAAAATGTGTTTTAGAATAAATTAAATAAGAATTCTGAGTTAAATTCAAATTGAAAAACCACAAAGTACTTATTATGGCATACCTGCAGGGGTGTTGAGCATCATGAACAGCATGACCATTGGCATTGCCCCAACTTTTATCCTCAAGTGGTGCATCTGCAGGGTCATAAAATACAACCCGATATTCTGATATAGCTGCAGTGTACGGGGTAGAAACAGTTGTCGAATCATCCTCATCCCGAAGCAACTGATCTAGCTCAGGCCACAGCATTTCTCGCCTATTATGGGAACAATCGATAAGATTTCTAATATATTAATGGGTAAAAGAATGTTCATACTATTGATTCAAGATAAATTCAACTTCTTAATACCATGCAGTAAAATCATCTTCAATGCACTGATCATCATCTCCAAGACCCACAGGGACAAGGCGTTTTGCACCTGAGAATGGACAAAAGAAAAGATGTGATTCTGCTGAAAAGAGACCCAATGTGGCACACTGGTCAAGTGGTAAAGTAGTCAATGAGCAATGTGGCACTATAATTCTCACTAGTTAGAGGAATAATATCTATCGTGAAGCATTGTATGTGTGAGTTGATTTATGTTCAACTAGTTGCAATTTTAAAATTGACAAAGGCTGAATAAAAGATACCATATAGCAACTAAAACAGAAAGCTTTTTCAAATTGTAAACCTCTTTATTTGAGGATAGAGTAAATCATAGGATTGAAAATACAAACAAAAACATGCCATTGTCCCATACAGAAATAATAAATTGCACTCCAAAAATATATGACATTAAACCTGCATTGTGAGGTCCCCTTCATATACACCTGATTAGAAAAAAATTTAATACAAAACTCATTGAATGATTTTGAGTGGTGATGACAGCGTTAAAATATTACTATTAAGTTATAAAGCTTCAAATGTACCACACTCACACGGATTGCCCCAATGAAGGAAGCTAAGAAAACATGCACATTCAAAATAATCCAAACACAGTGCCAACAATTCACTTAAGCGATTTAAGTATTTCAAAAAAAAAAAAAACCATAAACTAGATGTCACAAACATAGAATAACATTAAGATGCAATTCCCATTATGCATCAGCACATCCTCAAACAAAAATCAATTTAAAAAAAGCATACCCTGCTCAATGAGGGTATCATCCACCACCTTGGCAACCTGTTTGGCATCACAAAAACAAATCAAAACATCAACAACCTAAACTCAAATGCAAACAACTTGAGACTAAAACTAAATATCAATTGAGAAATTCAATTTCGAACCTTGTTAAAATGTTCATATTGCCTGTTACCAAGACCAAACACTCCATACTTAAGATTCTGTAACCATTCCCCTCTTTCTTTTCCCTAAACAAACAATCACAAAATCAACAAAACCAATCAAATTATGCTCAGTAAATTCAAAACATATATCGATTTCTAACTAAATCATACAAAATCTTACCTCCGTAAACCATTTATAGAACCTAGCTGCATTATCTGTTGGCTCACCATCTCCATATCTTCAACAACAATAAAATAAAATAAACTCAACACACAAAAATCAAAATCGAAATCGAAAATAAAAAATAATCTACAAATACTTACGTAGCCAAGAAGAAAAGTGCCAAACTTTCCTTCTTCAATTTTTCCTCGTATTCATCGTCGTCAGCCGCATAATCATCCTGATTTTTCATAATTTAAATAAAAATTAAATTAACACCTGTCCAACTTTTTAGTGTTTGACAAATCTTCACTCAAATTATGAAAAAAAACAAAAAGTCAAGTAAATTAATAATACCAAATCGACGACTCTAAATTTCGCTTTCTCATATCGCGCTTTCGCCTCGTCAGCCAAGGCTTTAGCAAAACCTTCAGCAGTTCCCGTCTGAGTACCGAAGAAAATGGTGACCTTCTGCTTACCGTCATCAACTTCAACTTCCGGCTCCTTAACCGTCAAAGGCTTCAACGGCTCGACCGGCTTGACCTTCTGTCCGCTCGATCGCCGCCATATCAAAACGACGACGCAGCCAATCAGGACAGCAATAGACGTAGTCAAGATCATAACGAACTCACGATTCTCAAAGATAATATTCGCCACCTCGCTCACCGAGGAATCCGAAGAGACATTCGACGGATCCAAGACCTTCTTTCCTTTAATAATCGCGGCCATTAAATCGAACGGCGACATCGAGCTTGACGAGGAAGATGAGGAGGACGACGAAGATTGCATGATAATTGTAAGAACCGGAGGAAGGAGTTTGTTAAGCTCGTGCTTTTTGTTAAATTGATGTAACCGGAGAGATCTCTCTGTTGTTGTTGCGTTGAGTTGTGCTGTGTTTGTTTTGGTGGTGGGTGTGGTGTTGGTGAGAGAAGTCCCTGAGAGAGAGAGAGGCAGAGAAATATGGGAGGTATTTATATATAAACAATTTTATCATTTTATTAAATAAAATAAATTTAAAATCAAATTATTAGATGGTGTGATTTAAAACCAAACCAACGCCTACCAAACCAGACTACCGGTTACTGGTCAAACCCACCTAACCCCAAGTTAACCATGGTTAAGTTTTCTGGACTTTTGGTCAGAGTTTGTTTCAAAGGTCTAAAATGCCCCTTTTTGTTTTACTTTACTTTTAGTTTTTGCCTTTTTGTGTTTCGTGATTTGTGTAAAAAGGTAATGGATATTTTTGAGGTACTTGAGTTTTAGACTGATTACTCTTTGATCCATTAAAATGAGAAAATTGTAATTCACTCCCTATTAACACTTTAATTCATATAAGAGAGAAATTGTTATGCCCGGGAAATAAAGAGTTGACGTGGGATCGCGTGACGAGACGTGGCCTACTCCTGTCAGAATGATAAGAGTACGTCAGGCCTGCCATGCACCCTGGAGCTCCCACGTGTCCGCTTACCTGCTCCAAATCGCGTAAAATCTGCTGGGGAAGTGGGTAATGGGACGTAAAGCCTGATTATATTCTGACATTCACACCAACCCAAGGATTTAATGATGATTACACGCATTCAGCTTGGTATAAGAAGAAGACGACCCCTTCATTAAGGGGATTCGATCATTTTGACATTTACTCTCTCTCTCAAAAAAAAAAAGGCTCTGTATTTTTACTTTTCAATCATTTGTAAGTCAGTCTGCTTTAGCGACCTGACCCACCATATTAATACAAATCAGTGGATGTAGGATTTGCTACCTTAGCATCCGAACCACTTTAGAAGCTCTTATTGCATTTATTTCCTTTTAACTCACAATCACGTGTGCTTCTTGGTCAGTCAACGCTGCACATGTGTCGATTAGTTGGTGCCCAAAATCACGCATCAACAGAAATTAACACATTTAGTGTCACATCTCACTTAGTCAGTGAATGAGTTTGAATTAAGTTTATAAAGTGTAACCCTCTTAACTTAATAGATGTGTTTCTTTATGAAAACGCTTGACTGAAGCCTAAAAACAAACTCGTGCAGGCATGAGCTAAAATTGACATTTTCTACTTAATTGAATTTGCGATTTGACATCTAGACCCATCAATAGGTAGGAATGTCAATATTCAAGCTTAGAAGGGCTCGAGTTATATTAATAAACTTAGGTAGTTTTGATGTCGTTATAGATCAAAATGTTATTTTCTAATTCTAGTGAGTTAAAAATTCACTTAAACATTGGGACCTAAATGTAATTCTATTGTAGAGGTAAAGTCATAAAGAAGAATTTTTTTTTTTTTTTTTTTTTTTTTTTTTTTTTAAGGTGGAACATAATGTTGTAACGATGAATCTTAAATTTACAATAAAATAAAGATGTTTAATTCTTTATAGTTATTAGAGATCACACCCTCCCTCGCACCACGATCCAAAGGCCATAAATGTGAATAAAATTACCCATAAGTTAGATAATTCTTTATTTATTATTATAAAGTTGTAATTATATTAATAATATTGTACATCTCAAATCTTAATCGAAATATTACATTAAATTATTATTCTCTAAATCAACTCTTAGGAAATGTTATCAATAAAATAGTTTATATATCTCATAATAGCAATTGAATCTATTTAATTTGATAGTTAAATAAGAATATTAACTTTATTAGCATGTAAAAAATCTGTAAAATCCATATATTTAGGGATGGCAAAATCTTATGAAATTAATATTGTGAATATATATATTTATTTAAATAATAAGAGATTAACGTTGAAAATGGAAAGACTATTGGGTTTCAAATATTGTCAAGGTTTTACCAAAAATGAAAAATGTCTTTGAAGCATATGTCATTTAGACTTTTTGTGTGTAAATGTCTTTAGATAACATATTAAATCTATTTGACATTGATATTTGTGGATTTTCTATATATTTTTTAAATTTCCGTCAAGTTTTCTCGCGTCACAAAAATATTAAAAGACAACCATTAGATAAAATTTCTTGCTTCTAGATACATTATATCTCGAAAAGTTTTCTACTCCGAAAAAAATTAATTCAAAATTTAAAAAAAAATCATAAATGTACGCATTTAAATTTTTATATAATTTTTTATTCTTTTTGAGTTTTAATATATTAAAATTAATTTTTTAGTGAAGAAATATTGATATTAATTGTGTCATGAGGACGTTGAAATATTGGTGGATCCATTATTGGTTTGAAATGTTATTATATATAAAATATTAATAATGATTCCTTATATTGTTATTGTATAGCAATTGTCTAACAAACGAGAAAACCATATTGAAATATTGTTTGAAAAAAAAAATATATAAAAATTCTTGCATAAAAAAATTCATAAATGTAAATATTTTAATGTTACGTAATCCTAATCCCTTTTTCAAATTTTAATGTGTCAACTAACTTCATGTATGAGAAATGTCCAAGGAAGTTAATAATTATTTTTTGATTAAGTCTTACATATATATGTATATATATTATCAAAGATTTTTTTTTTATAATTAAATAAAATTTCTAAAATCTTTGACATTTTAATTTTTAATTTTATTAAAGAGAGATTGGAAATTAAGCCAACTATAAAGGAAAGGGACAGGAGGCTGAACTAACTAGGTAAGCCCATGCTATATTTGATGAAATGGCCGAAAGCCGGTCACTTGAATCTAGTTGTTTCATTCAATTTGATTGAGGTGCAATCAATTCAAATAATATTTTTCTTTGTTTTGGTGGGTGGCTTTAATTCATTCAAATATTATCATCAATTATTCGAGATTTTAATCCAACAATAATTATTAAATTAATAGTACAATAATTATTTATTTAACTTTTGATTTCAATGGATTAATGGCTATTAATTATCATAAAAAAACTTTAGTAAAAAAAATTTATTAATATAGTCTAATCCTATTACTAAAACTGGATCCATATAATATTGAATTGGGATTTATTTCATGTATTCCTATAAGATAAATTACTATAAAAATATCTCATAGCATAAAAAAAAAAATTAAATATCCCCGATTTTATACTTTTAGAGAAGGTTTTTAAAATTTATCTTACGAGGTATTTTAATCATTTTAAAAAGTATATAAAGGATAGTATGTTTAATAGTAATCAATCTCACAGATTTTATATGCGGGAGTTTAGACAAATATACTCATCTTACTAATTTTAATTCTCAAAATGTCTAAGTTATTGTCTAAATGACATATATAACCATAAAAGCACGTGACTCACCATTTATGCCCTTGATGAAATAACAAAGGATTTAACACTTTGATTAAAGTATGCTAACATTTTAAGCTAGATTATGTTAGACCATACTAAGGGCCCGTTTGGTACAGCCTCTTCGAGTAGAATTTATGGAAAAAGAGTCTATAGAATTAAAACTTATTAGAGTAGAGGTTTTATTAAAAAAATAAAAATGTGGTTTGCCTAGGAAAGTGTAAAAGAGTTTTCTAATATTAATTTACCAAAAAAAGGTTTAAAATACAAGAAACGATCAAGAGAAATTTAAAAGATTGAATAGAGGCATTTTTAATAAGTTAAAAAAGAGCTTATTCCCATAAGCTATAAAATAGCTTTTTTTTATAATCATATAAACACTTTTGAAACATAACCGAACAATCTAAAAAGAAGTAAAAAATGCTTATAGGATTAAAAAAGCTCTCTCGATCAATAGACAAGCCTAACCAAATATGCTCTAAACTTAATAGTCTAGTATTTAACAAGCTTTGATCGACAAGCCTAACCAAATATGCTCTAAACTTGATAGTCTAATATTTAACAGGCTAATTAAAGCATGTTAAACTAAGTCGTTTAATGCATTCTGTCAATATTATGTTAACTGACATAATTTTATGGTTATTTATGCATTTTAAAACAAAACTTTAGTATTTAGAGAATAAAAATTAATGAGATGGTTATACACGGAAATTATTGTAATGTTATCAATTGGGTACCAAAAGTAGCCTCTTACTAAAGGAGCAAGATTAATTAGATTATAATGAGGTAAAAAATAGGATAAATTGGAACATGGGGGGGTTTATGGTCAAGAGGTTCCCACGTTTGGCATGTCCAAATGAGTGAATGACTATATCCAAACGCTTGTCTTTATTATTGTCCAATAATAATGTTTGACAAATAGAAAACCATTCGGGAGGGTTAGTAGGTTTGCTCCAATTGGAAGCCTAAATATTCGGTGATTTGAGTTATTTATTGATCTTGGCTTGTCATAGTTGAGATTTGAGGAATATCAGTAAGACCCCAAAAGTATTAAAGATCATCACTTACCTCCTTGATCATGTTAGTTTTGACTTTTGATCGTTAGAATTTATTATTAAAGAGACATAAGTCATGATTTTTTCAAATCTAAGGGGAGGTTACAATTATTTCTCATACCTTGGAGGTCCTTTTGGTACTTCCTTAAACATTAGGGAAGGCAAAGGTAATTTTTTATTTTGATTTGGCTTATATATCTCCCCTGAGATTTAAGGGGATCTTATTAGAGGTCACCTGCTATCTTTTCTGAGATTCAGAAAACCACTCACTTTCCTTCCTTTGTCATATTAATTTTGATTTTGACCTTTTTTTTTATTACGTTTGGTTGTGAAAGAATCAATTTGCCGACAACTTTGGTTTATTAATTTTAAAACCTTCTTCATTAATGAACCGAATACTTATAATTGTACAACTTTTTTTTAGAGTTTAGATTCTTATAATTGTTTCAAACTCTCACAAATTATATTGAATGATAGAGTGATATAAATCAAACAATTGATTGGATTTTGTTCACTTAATACTCAAATAAATTGTAATGCTAAAATTCGCATCAACAAGATGTACATAAATTCCTTCATGAAATCTACGCAAGGGATTGTATGGAATCTACTAAATCAAAAGCAACAAATAACAAAAGATTTTGAAAGTGGCTCGGATGCTTGATGCAAACCCTATGTCTATT